TAAAAAAAAAAAAGAAAGAAAGAAAGAACTGAAGGAAACGGTGACAGGCGCATGCATTTGCTCAGTGACAACACTGCGACAAGGGAGAAGTGAGGAGTGTTTTGTTGCTGTGAGGCACTTAGTTACGCATGAAGTGGGTATGGTGCTACATGGAGAGGAAGCGAGGTTTCTTACAAGTATGTCTCAAACTCCAGGGCCACCACTGAAAGAAAAGTTTAAAATAGAAGTCTGATTGGTATGCTAAGAAGGAGAAAAATGATGTCATAAAATGTCCAGTTAGAACCACAAGTGTCAGAAAAAGAACGGGAGACAACAGCAACAGAATCTTGCCACAGCGTGCAGAGGCGTAACAAGCAGTCGACAGACACTGCCCAGTCATTGCGCTGCTCGCCTTCCACACGGCGGCCTCCGTCCACAGAAGGAGATTGTCAGGCTGGGCCCAAAACCAAGACCCAGCTGTGTGACCTGCACTGTGATTCTGTAACCCAAGGGACACCAAGCAGCAAAACTTGAAAGGGAAAGTTGGCAGCCTCACACTTCCTGGTTTTAAAACTTACTACGAAGCATCAGCAGCCCAGTGTGTACCAAAGGAAGGACAGATGTGTGCAAAGTGAAATCAATCCAGAGTGTAGAAAGCAGCCCACACATTCATGATCAGCGGATTCCCAGCAAACGTGCTGCGGCCTGTCAAGGGAAAAGAATAGTCTTTCCAACAAGTAGTTGTGGGATAAGTGAATGCCACAGGAATGAATTTGGACCCTCGATGCATGCTGGGTATGGAGAACAACCTAAAGTGCGCAATACCCAGCCTTTCAAGGGCAGGGGGACTCAGGACATAGGAGAACCTGTACTGTAACACCGTGTAACGCAGTTGTGTCCCAAATTTTCTGATCAAGGAGATTATGGGGCCACAAAGGAATGTGATCAATGATGTAGAGTGTGCCTGGGGAGAGTCACATGGAGAGAAAACATTCTCTCAGGCTTCCACAGAGAGCAAACTGGTCAAGCAATGGCCGTGACTCATCCACATGGCTGACACTGACAAAGGATCTACAAACTGCTGCGGTACAGGGTTTCAGCATAAATCCTGAGGGGATTTGACTGACCTTATCAGATACAAAAGTTACATTTCTTGGTATATAGGTCTTGCTTTATCTTGGTCTTAACCATCCAGCAGAAAAGTATAAAAATGAGGTATAAAGGTATAAATAAAGTAAAGTAAAGCCATATTAATATGCTGAGCTGTAAAAGGCTCAAGTCAACAACTTCTGACATTGCCAGTCCTATGGATAACCCACTACTATGATGGACTACTGGACTATATTGGAATATTTTGCTCAATTCATGCACCTACAATATTTAAATGACAATGGAATACCCATCTCTGACAAAACTAAAAAAAAGAAGATACAAATGAAGGACCATTTTGTATCTGTATATTCAAAATAGGATAGATATACAGCTAGTTTCTCTTAATTCAATTAATAGAAAGATTTGTACTAATAGTGTTTGTGGACAGGACATCATGTCTCCCTCTTGTACTACGAATAACTACTACAAAGATAACAATATGCAATGTATTAATTATTGAAACTGTCCTACTAATTGGTTTTGAAACTGTCTCATTGCAATTTGTTTGTCAATAAAATTATAAAAATGAATAAAATAAAATAAAAAATACAAAGTGGGTGACAAGCCTAAAGGTAAGCGCTTAGTGCATAGAATGCAGAAGAAAGCAGAGGGCCAAGTCTCCTTTCGTGACTCGGATTTTAGGGATGACTAGGAAAGAGCGCACAGGTAGGGTAAATCGGGCCTTGTGCCAGCCCAGAGTGTTTGTGCTTGGTTGAGCACTGTGAAAAAAGTGAAAGGCTGCTTCACGGAATCGGAGAAGATATTTGCACATTACACATGTGGTGGCGGAATTGTGCATAAATATATAAAGAACAACTGAAAGAATGGAAGAGAATGGCAACAGTGGAGGGGAAGAAGGGATGGGGAGGGAAAAGGGATCAGGATATATTGCACACAGACACAAATTCCTCAGGGTGGAGTGAGCACTATGTATGGCAAACATGGACTAATAAAATTGTTTTAAAGAGAACACTTGTGAATCAATAATAAATAACCCAATTGAAAAATGGGCAAAAGATCTATGGGGACACTTCCCCAGAGAAAATAGAGAACCAATAATCCATGAAAAGCTACTTGACATCATGCTCGATAAGGAAACACATATCAAAATCACACCCACTAAATGTCTAAAATCAAAAAGATGACAGTATTGTCAGGGACAAGGAAAACGGGAACTGTCGCACACTGCTGGTGGCACTGTAAAGTTCAGCAGCCATCAGCTGCTCAGCAGATGGTCACCAAGTCACTGGGAGCTGCCCACCCACTCCTAGCTCAGACCAGGAGAGGTGCGGGTGGCGTCCATCCAGACCCACTGGAGCAGCTCAGCATCAGCGGAAGGTGACCCCCCCTCCCGGGATGAGTGGTGACACAAAGTGGGATATCCGGACACTCGGTTGGTTATGCAGCCTGCAGAGCAGCGAAATGCCACTACATACTCCACAAGTGTGGACTTTGAAAACGGTAAACTAAGTTGAAATTAAAGTCAGACCCAAAGGGCTAGCCAAATAGCTCAGCGGACTGAAGTGCCTGCTTAGGCAGAGCACCGCAGCTGGGGTTCCAACCCTGGTGTGCGTGCCTGCCCCGTCCCCTGGGGCATGCTGAGACGATTACTGAGACTGGGTGTGGTGGTGTGCACCTGTAATCCCAGTGCTTCAGAGGCTGAAAACAGGAGAAACACGAGTTCAATCTATGCAGTGAAACTGGAGACCCTGTCCTGAATACATTTTTTAAATTAATTTCTAAATACATTTTAAAAATAAAATAAAGTTAGACCCTAGTAATTAGATTGCTATGAACAAGTGTGTGCCCACAAATAGATGAGGTGGGCAAATTCCTAGAAAGACACAAACACGAAAACTGACTCAAGCAGAACAAGGAAGTCCTAACAGATTTATGAGTAGAGAAATTAAATGAACTGAAAATCTTGCATGGAGAATTCTAGCCTCATTGATGAATTCTATCAAATAGCTACAGAAGACGTGACAGGAATCCTGCACAGTCCTTCCCAGGAGAGGAACACATGCTGCCGCCTGGGCTTCCCCCATAGGATACCCCTCATGAAGGCAGTCACAAGCTGAATCCTTACAGAAGCATCACAAATGAAAGCCACGAACGTATGATGAGGACTGCGCACCCCAGCCAGTCAGGGTTTACCCCAGGAAGTCAATGTTGGTTTAATATTCAGAAATCTATTGCCAGCCAGGTGGCACATGTTCCTGTTCTCCCAGCTATGTGGGAGGCTGAGGCAAAAAGGTCCCAAGTTTGAGCCCCACCTGGGCAACATACCAAGACACCCATCTTTTAAAACTCTATTCAAAAATCAGTTAATATATAATCGTATCAATACAATGGGGAGCAAAACGCACCATCTCAATAGCTACTCGGAAGGCAGTGCTCTGCGTCGACATGGTACAGGTCTGGCCCTCAAGAGGGAGGAGAGGGAAGGGAGGGAGGACACCCTGAGCTGCACACTTGTTTGTGCTTTTCTGTAGAAAGTCTCCTCGTTCTCCTTGTCCTCCTCCTTCCTCTCCTGCTCCTCCTCCTCCCCAGGGTACTGGGTATTGGGCCCAGGGCCTTCACACTGAGCTACATCCCCAGCCCTTTTGATTTTTTATTTTGAGGCAGGGAGGGTCTCCCTAAGTAACCAGTTACTCTTCAGCAAAATGTATTTGAGTAAGAAAGCATGTGCATTGTCTGGGGAGCTCAAAGCAGCCTGCCACTGCTCCTGTGGCTTTTCCTGTCTCCTTGGATAGGGCTGGACCGGGCGCTCTGCGCTGGGCAGCCCTGGGCCTCCCAGGCTGGCCCTCACATTTGTAGCCCCCTTGTTTCTTTATGGTCACCCCCTTCCCTCCCTCCCAGGCACGCATTCCTGCACATGTAGGGGCTGACTCCAATCTACCACCACGCCTTTATTTGCAGACATTTGTATCCATGAACACTACCGGTCGTCATCGTCTTTGTGAGCGTCTACACAGGCAGGAAGACTTACGCAGACGTCGTACCATGCTGTGGCTCTCTGTCCACCCTCGTAGACCATCGGGGTGGGTGGGCGGCAAGTGCAAAGCCACCTGGGGTACGCTGCTGCCGGCGGAGATTTACCATTCCAACTCTTTCACGCGTACCATGGGTGAAAACATCACCCCCACCTCCCAGCCCCTGCTCCTTCCGGGCCTGTTCCCAGGAATGGCAGTGTCACCCGAGGGCAGAAGTTTCTGTCTTATGCACCTAGACAGAAAAGCCCACCCTGGTGTTTCGGCGGCTCTGGTGGCCATAAAGTGGTGTCTCATTGCTGTCCTCATTCATTTCTCTGACTCCAAAGTGCTGGTCTGCACCTCTGCTCCCTGAGCACCCCTACCTGCGACTGTCTGGTTTTTTGTCATTTAAAAAATTAGATATCTTCTTTCTAACCCACTTAGGATAGTTTTTAAATATGGAGGTGACAAGATTCTGAGGGTGCTGGCCAGTAGTAGGGAGAGTTACCAGAGGCCCTGGTTTCCATTCCACGCACCTCAAAATCCAGATAAAGGAAATTAGCGTGACCCACCCTTTAAAAGACCTCACTGGGTTAAGGGTGCACTTTTTTTTTCTCCCGGAACCGGGGATGGAACTCGGGCTCTTGCGCTTGCCAGGCAAGCATTTATTCCACTAAGCCATCTCCCCAGCTCCAAGGGCGCATGTGTTAACAGAAACTGAAACCGGCCCCCAGCTCTGGTCCTTCCTTACACGGTTTTATTTTGAGACAGGATTTTGCTACTTTGCTGTGATCCTCCTGCCTCAGCCTCTCAGGATGGCCTTGCGGCTGAATGCTGCCACCTTCCTGCACTTAGAAACTCTGGCTGGCCCTGGCTCCGGGAAGTCACCGCCTCGCTTGCCTCGTGCACCTGAGCCTGGGGCCGCCCCGTGGGGCCGCCCTCCCTTCAACGGCTCGGAGCAAGCAGGGTGGGAACGCTGCCGGACGGTGGCGCCGGGATCCCTGAGTCCATGGCGGTGACCGAGCTGTATGCGCAGGTAGGAGGCGGAGCTGCTGGGCTGGGGTCGTGAGCGTCCCCTCCGCCAGTTCCACAGCGCGCTGGGCAGAGCGGCGCTTGTAGGCAAAGCCACCCGGTCCCCAAACTTCCCGGCCCCTGGGGTGGGGTGGGAGCTGGGCTAGAGGTCGCTGTCCCCGCCCTGGGGTGAGGAGACCCCAGTGAGCGGAGCGCGTGGACGCGGACGCGACTCAGGAAGGCTGCTTGGGACCAGCTCGGGGCTGAGACCCCGCAGAGGAGGCTTTTGCGCCCGCCGACCTGGGCACCCTCGCCCCGTTTCCCTGCAGGCCCCCGTGGCTGCTGCCGGTCGAGGGGCCTGGCGAGCGCAGCTGCACTGGGGACTTGCACGACTGAATCCTTCTAAACTGAAGGGGACACCCTGGCCGCCGCCCTGCGCCCTCCCAACAGGCAGCTGGTTCTGCCAGGGGGCCGGCACCCGGGCGCCCCGACCTAGGTGGGATGCACCCCGACCGTGGCTCGGAGGTGGGCGGGCCTTGTGGGGCACTGGGGACAGCTGGGCGGGCTCCTGCCAGCCCCCCGCGCAGCCAGGGGCTCCAGGCCGCCACCCAGGGAATCCAGGGGTCAAGCTGATGTCAAGGAGCCCGGCTGGGCCAGGGTCACGTCGTCCCCACGCAGCGCGGGACCAGGCGCGCGGTGCTGGGGGAGGGCGAGGGCCCAGGCTGGGGTCGGTGTGCGGAGGAGGAAGAGTTTCAGCTGTGTGCGGACAGCTCCTGTGAGGCCGGAGACGCAGGCACCGCAGTCCTGGCAGGTTTCCCGCCCGCCCGCCGCCGGCTGCACGGGCGGCGACGCTGACGTGGCCAGAGCTTCTGCCCTGACAAGGTCCCCGGAGCCGGGGCGGTTAAGGGCCGGCGGGAGGCTCCAGGAATCCTCCGTTCAGGGAGCAGGAGGACCGAGCCGCGCGGGAGCCGGAGCAGAAGCCAAGGAGGGCGGGAGAGGGGCGCGCGGTGGCCGCGCTGGGGAGCAGCTAGGCCGGGAGCTGCCTGGAGCAGGTGCTGCCGGGAGTCGCGGGAACCGGTCTGGCCACTGCGCACTGCCACTTCCAGCCCCTGAGCACAGGGCGGGCACCGGCACACAGCCTTATCCAGCTCCTGAGGGCGCACGCAGCAAACCTGGGCTGAGGGCATCGCGGTACCAATCTCTATCTTGTGTCTTAATAAGGCTGAGTGTGGCACAAACCCAGGTGCCGGCCTCGGAGCTTTCCTGCTTCTCTGACTTCATGTGAGCAGACAGTGGTGTGAGTTACACGCTGTCATCCCCATGGGGCAAATGGAGCCCCATGTCCGTGAGCAGCCCTTGGGCCTGGGCCGCCATGCCCTGCACCTCTGGTCCTCTCCAATCGCCTTTCTCCTCTCTGAGGGCTCTGGGCTCCCCACACACAGAGAAGCTGTAGGGACATCTGTCTGCTTCCCGGTCACCCGCCTGCACCTGTGCACTGCCATGGTGGCCCCCTCAGAACCCCAGTGGACCTGCCCAGGGTCAGCTAGTGAGGCGGAGTCCAGTGAGTGATCAGAGACGCTGGAGGTGGGACGCAGGGCCGTCATGAGCTGTGTGCGGACAGCTCCTGTGAAGCCGGAGACACAGGCACCGCAGGCACTGTGACCACCAGCGTAGCGTGTGTGAGCCAGGAGGACGCCAGCGATGACAGGTCAGGTGGAGAGGGGGGACATCAGAGGACACCTCCCCCTCCCTGGTGACCTCTGTGCTCGGCTGCGGCCACAGTGAGGCCACTGGGTGCTGCACGCATCATGTTGGTGCTCCATTTTGAGTGAATGCTGGGTGTGCCCTTCACTCATGTGGGGACAGAGCCCCCCAGCCGGGTGTGAAGGTGGAGGGTTGCCATGACGACGGGCAGCTGTGGTCATCAGCAGCCCTGGCTGTGCTGCTTCCTAAAGGTCGGGGGCTTCTGCAGTATGACCACGAGTAACTGTGCCTTCGTCTTGTCCCCACGTGTGATTTCCATCTTGCTTCTGCCACTCCATGAAAGCTGATGGGGACAGCCGCGCCACCCCGCCACCCCAGCATAGATGCCCTGGAAAGGTGGCCTGAGCTCCACATGGGCCCCAGCTGCAGTCCCTGAGACAAGGTGCCTGGGTGTCATGAGAGCCACTGGAGTGGCCAGAGCTCTCCAGAGAAGCCTGTCACCCAGGAGGCAAGCAGGGGCGAGGGTAGAGACACAGGGCCACGGGGGCACAGTGTAACCCATGTGCCAGCCAGCCTGAAGTAGTGCTGCGCCACGGCCCAGGAGGTGGCTCTGGAAGGGAAGGGAACCTGTGTCCCACACACAATGGAAGCATGCACCCTGATTCTAGCGCCAGGTACAGAGGACAGGGCTAGGGAGCCCTGGGGAGTTTCCCATGCCCTCTACGGCACCCATACACTGGGCGGCCACCCTGTCCCCTAAGCGCTGGTCACTATTTGTCCAGACACTGTCATTCCGGGCTTCATGGGTGGAGGGACAGGGTGGCACTGAGTCAACCCCATGTTTACTTACCAGGCTGGGCTCCCTGATGAGGCCTGGCCCCTGTGGGCTGAGCATGTGGCCACCTGGGTCATCAGGGTGAGGAGACACAGGTCCCCAAGAGGTCTGTCACAGAGAGGAAGCAGATAGAGGCTCCTGTGTTCCAGTCCTGTCCACCTCTAATGCTGCTTTTAACCAAATCAAGTCCAAAGAGGCACCCAGGGGACCGTGGTCCTGAGCAGCCCAACCTTAGCCCAGCCCCCCAGGAGTGTGGGAGTCAGCATGGGGCATCCTTGTCCTGCTGGGCTTGTGCTGGGCCATTGGTAAGACCAAGGACTAATCGGCTCGGTGACCTGTCGCCAGCATCGTGGAGGCCTGGGGGCCTGGCTCCTGCCTTGTGTCTCCAGCCACCTCCTTTCATGTGGAGCCAGCTGTGTAGTTTTCAGAAGTTTGACCAATGACTTGGAGTAACTCCAAGGATCAGTTCTGAATCTGGTGACAACTGCACATGGTGGTGCATGCTATAATCCCCCTGAGGGAGGCTGAGGCAGGAGGATCACAAGTTGGAGTACAATGTGGATGCTTGTGTAAGACCCAGTCTCAAAATCAAAAGTAAAAAAAAGGGCTTAGAATGGAGCTCAGTATAGAAGCCCTGGGTTCAGTCCTCTCTGTCTGTCTGTCTGTCTGTCTGTCTGTCTGTCTGTCTCTCTCTCTCTCTCTCTCTCTCTCTCTCTCTCTCTCTCTCACACACACACACACACACACACACACACACGTGCACACACATTTATTGTGGCTAATTCCTGCTGAGCTGGGGTATGTTTTTTTAATGGTTTGAGTTTCATGGGGTTATCCAAAATATTTTTCCTAGCAGACCCGAGGTGGGAAAATGCAGCCCATGGCAACAAGTATGTGTGCAGGCTGGCGCGGGGCCATGCGTCTGCCAGGCTGCCCCTGTCATCACACCAGGCCACCTGTCACCACCTGCCAGCCAGCTCTCTCCTGCTGTGTGCCCCGTCATACCTCTGCTGGCTGCCAAGGACTGAAGCGGCCCAGTAGCACCCACAGTCAACTCATGACCTTTCTATTTAGTGAATGGAGGCTTCTGGTGCTAGCCAGTAGGTATATTCCACACCCAGCCTTGTTCCGGTCTAGCTCTGGTGTCCAGAGCTTTGTTTTCTTCTTATTCCTTGTTTGCTGTAGCATCTTCATGAAACTTTGAAGCATAAAAAAGTTTCACAGAATCTCACAGAGCATTTGTCCCCGCCCCTAAGCTCATACCCCCCAAGCCTGGAGCCACCACACTTTTCAAAGCACTTGATGTTCCTTTTCATTTTGTCTTTTGTCTTTTTGAGACACGGTGTTATTATGTAGTTTGGGCTACCTTGAGCTCACTGTGTAGCCCAGGCTGGCCTTGAACTCATGATGCTCCTCCTGCCTCAGCCTCCTGAGAGCTCAGATTACCCCATGCCCAGGTTTCAAAGCGTTTTAGAGCACTCGCGACACGAATGCGCTGCTACAGACGCCCCTGCGTTGTCCTTTCCCAAGTCCCATGTTCGCTCGGTGCCCGCTGCGGAAGTCACAGTGAGGGGAGCGCTCCTATGGCCTACGGTGCTCGCCACGCCCATCTGGGTACAGAATGCCACCGGCATCCCCAGAGTGTCCCGCAGGGCCACTCCGCACCCCAGGTGGCACTTCCCGCGTGTCCCCCATGTGACTGGCCTGCTGCTCCCCGATCTCCCTGCTGAGTCTGGCTGGCTGTGTCCACCCTGCTGTCTGCTGTGTGGCGCTGTGGTTTTCTTTTCCCCATCACACATGGCCTCCGTGTCCTGTGGGAGTCACTGTGAGTAAAGTGTGGGGACTTTCCAGGCCAGCTGTCCTCTCAACCATGAAGTGGAGGCACAGGCCAGCCTCCTGTCCACACTGTCCCTGTCTAGGTGTCTGGTGCTTATTAGGAAGGATGGGGTTGCTTTTGCCAAGCAGGCTCTGCCTGCTGAGCGCACCGGCTCCCTGTTATAGCCCAAGTTCATTCCCAAAAGCCACCCCAGAAAATCAGTTGTCTCAGCAAGGGAGGGACACTCTTCCCAGGCCCAAGGGTGTGGCAGGGAACAGGGAGGTGACCCTGCAGGACAGGGAGCAGGCAGGCAGCTGCTGCCTCTCTGGGATGGAGGGTGGCACCCAGGGCTCGCCCAGGACCTTTGGACCCAGGGTCCCAGCCACGGAGCACGGTCTCCCCACAGCCTGGCGATGTCCGGTGCATGGGCCCTCAGCTAGGGTAGGGGATGGGGCTCCTGTTTGTTCTTTTGAGGACACAAACCTGGAGCACATCAGCTCAGCCATGCCCTGGACCACATTTGGCCCTCCCTGGCCCCCAGGCACAGTCACACAGGGCTCAGGGGACACTTCAATCTGTGACAGCACAGTTGTGTGGGGGCGTGGCCCCTGGAACCCCCATGTGCCCTCAGGACAGTGCCTATGCGGCTGTAACATCTCACCCTGTGCTGCTGGTCTCAGTCTCCCCTAAGTTCCCAGCACCCTGCAGAACAGGCTGTGTGCCCATTCTGTGAATTTAAAAACTGAGGCAAAATGAAGCACTTGACTCAGAGCCCTTAGCCACACAGGGAGCCAGGTCCTGGGCTGTAGCACTCAGACACACATGTCAGCTGGGCAGGCCCGGCTCCTCCACCCAGCACTCCGGAGGTCGCCACTGCACGACAGGCACTCTGCGAGTCAGGGCGGGGCACAGGCCCTGGGGGAGGGGCATCCTATGCCGCTATCTGAGCCTTTGTCCCGTCATCAGTTCAACAGGGTCTGGATCCCTGACCCCGAGGAAGTCTGGAAGTCAGCTGAGATAGTGCAAGACTACCAGGCGGGTGACAGCGCCCTGCGCCTGCGGCTGGAGGATGGCACGGTGAGAGCCTGCAGAGCCCGGGGCAGGCGGGTCAGGGGCTGGTCCTGCAGGAACCGCCCAGGGGAGGGCGCTCCAGGGGCACAGGCCCCATCCCAGTCCCCACGCTGCCCCTGTTGCCGGGCTCTGGCCCGGGCCCAGGTGCAGCCTCCAGGTCTGTGCCCTCTGCTGCGTTTCCAGGCACCCTGTGGTGTCTCGGTCACGTTCTTAAGTGCTGGGACACAGCACAAAGGAGGGGAGGTTTGCTCTGGCTCCAGCTTTGCATGGTCGAGGGTGCGGTGGAAGGGCCTGTGAAGAGGAAAGTTGCATGCGTTGTGGGGACTGAGAAGCAGAGAAGCAAGGAGCTGCTGGCCCTGCCTGCCACACTCGGGGACCTGCCCCCCAGGCGAGGAAGAGCAACAAGTGCATCTGCATGCAAAGCGTGTCTAGTCCCTCTCTCGGAGTCCCCGAGCCTGAACACTTCCAGCGTGGCTGAAAAGTCCAGGTCCTCTGAGATGCAAGATGCACTCCTAGCTGTGAGAACCTGAAAAAATCCACGGGAGAATTAAACACTGCCGGCACACAGTGGCATGGATAAACATTCCCATCCCAAAGGAGAAGAACGGGTACAGAAAGGAGTGGGACAAAAGCAAGACCAAAACCCAGCAGGACAAACATTAAATTCTGTAGCTCCATGTCCAGCAGGCAGGGCAAGCTGTGGCAAAATGCAAATTCTCAAATGTTTGGGTGACCCTGCCCCAGTGGCCTCTTGGACGGTATCCAATCACTACCAGCTTGCCTGTGGCTTTCCTCAGACAATCCATGTCTCTGGCTTTTCAGGCATCTGCGGGCCGCCACTGCATTTGAGCTACACTCTCCCCGCTTACTGCCCAGCCTCCTGGGGAACACAGTGTCTGGGAGGCCTTCTAAACCCCAGTGGGCCCCCACAACCCTTGCATTCTAGCACCACATGGATGCCACCGCAGTCTCCCACCAGCTCAAGCGGCAGCTGGGCTCCCTTGAATTGTGTCTGCAGAGGCCTCTTATTGATGGGTAGCGGAGCACTGTGAGCTAATCCTGAAGAGCCAGTGCCCGGGACCCTCAAGGCAAAGCCTGCCGCTCTTGGCCCCACCCGCTGGAGAAGGCATCGCCTTGCTGAGTTCTCATTTGCCCTCAGGATGTCTTTCCCACTGCCCGATGCAAAGTGCCTGGCTTCTCTAATGCTGCTCTTCTCAGTAGCCACGCTCTCTTCAAAACGTCACAGGCCTCACCTTTACCAGTGCATCCTTTCTGGCTATCTTACTGTTCTCTTGTTGCCGAAACAAAATACCTGCTGCCCAAAGTTAAAGGGGAAAGGGTTATTGAGCTCACAGTTTGTGGAGGTGTCAGTCCATAATCAGCGAGCTCCAAGGCAGGGTGGCGCATGGCGAAGGGCAGCAGTTCATGATGATAGAAGACAGCAGAAATAAGAAGTAAAGAGTCAAGACTCTTTATGTCCCTTACGTTGTATACAGGCTACAGCTAGATTTACCAATCACTCACCCTTAATTCCAGCAGCACACACTCAGCCACCTCTGAAATAGCTCTATGACCTCTATGACTTTACGAGGCTTTCTGTATCTACACCTAGGTAAAAACCATAGGACTGGCCAAGTGCATGCTTTTAAAATCATTCAGCTATGCCACTTTCTCTTGACTTTCAGTATAACGCTAAGTGCAGCAAAAAGTACCCATCCTATAGCCTGAATGTTGGGCTGCCCTGAAGTTTCCTCAGCCAGGTTATTAGTCCACCACCTTTCATTTCAGTCTCCCGCAAAGTCTCGGGAGAGGAGCACAATGTAATCAAATCTTCTGCCGGAGCATCAAACACACGGGCCAGAATCCAGTAGCCCATGGAGCCCTTGTTCTCAGTGGAAAGCTCCAGAGCACGGCCTTTGTCGTCTCCCATTCTACCAGCGCTCTCCTCTTCGGCGCTCTCACCAGAATTTTCCATCAAGCTCAGCTCACTGCTTTCTAGGGCTGCTTCTCCAGCCAGCATCTCCAAACCTTCTCAGCCTCCTCCCAGAAGCCAGCTCCAGACGCTTTCGAAACATTCAACCAGAAACAGTCACAGCAACAACCCCACTCCCGGTGCCAAATCTGCTGTTACTTTCTCGTCACTGGGACACAGTACCCAAAACCCACACGTCAAAGGGAGAAAGGTTTACTTTGTCTCATAACGACAACTCTTAGTTGGCAGATTTCAAGACAGGGAGGTATCAGAAGGGCCTGACAGAGGAAAGCTCACACGAGATGGCCTGAAAGCAAAGAGAAAAGGAGGGAAAGAAGCCCTCCCAGGCCACGCCGCTGGAGCCTCCAGCAGGTCCCCAGGCTGGGAGCTCGGGAGGCCCTCTGAGGCTGCAGTGCCTTCAGCAGTCTCTGACGTCACACTCTGGAGCTCGGGCCTTGGTGGGCCATCCTTCCCACCAGGAAGGCAGTGTCCTGAGCCAGTGACCTGATGCTTTAGGGTCAAGTACCCGAATGCAGAGCTGGGCAGAGAATTCGGGGTACTGGGACCTGGGGTGCCTTGTGTGTACCGGGTACTGACACTGACCCAGCAGGAAAGGAGTAATTCAGTCACACTGTCCTGAGGGGGAAGGACACACACCATGGTGAAGGGCATGTCCTCAGGAGTCGGGCTATCAGTGTGTGAGGCCCAGCCACTTCCCCTCAAGTGTGAGAGGAGTTAACGGCGGCCACTCCCCCAGGTGTGTCAGGGGTTAAAGGCCACCGGGGTGTGACAGGAATTAATAGACACTCCTGCAGGTTTGATAGAAGTTATGGGCCACTTTTGCCCAGGGGCCACAGGAGTTAACGGCCACTCCCCTCAGGTGTGACAGGAGTTACTGGCCACTTCTGACCAGGGGTGACAGGAGTTGAAGGCCAATCTCCCAAGGTGTGACAGGAGTTACTGGCCACTCCCCCAGGGGGGACAGGAGTTAATGGTAGTGGCTCTGCCCAGGTTATACAGGCTGCACAGATTGTCCTTACCCACACAGGAAGACGCCAGCACCCCTTCCCAACTGCTGTGCCTGGGGAGTTGCCCAGCACACTGGATGCTGGGCAGGGCTAGGGGGTTTTGCTACAGAGGACTCTCAGGACAGTGGCATCAGTGGGGGCCCATCTAGCCCAGGGCAAGGTGCAGTAGCAGCGGCAGTGGGTCCTCACCACCACCCTCCAGGCCAGGAGGACAAAGCCCTGCTGGGTGAGACCAGTGTCCCCTGCCACTGCTGCTGGTACTGTCCCCAGGTGGGCTGTTCTCTCCTCTCTCCTCATACATTGGCTCAACTGGAAACGCAGGTTGCTGATCTAAAATAGAAAAAAGGAAACCATGAAAGTAGGAATTACAATTGACAAACTTTTTATTTTGTTTTTGCAGAGCTGGGGACTAAACCCCCAGGTTTTATGCTGAGCTACATCCCCAGCACTTTTCATATTTATTTTAAGACAGGGTCCCCCTAGTTGCCCAGCCTGGCCTTGAACTTGCCGTCCACCTGCCTCAGCCTCTGAGAGTGCGCCGCCCTTCTGTGCTTCTTCTCCTGCCTTTGCGGAGCGGGCAGGGCCTGCGCACTGCGCAGCCCGAAGCCCGCTCCGTTCTGTCGGCACTATTTCCGGGTCCGTACGGCTCCGCAGAGCGTAAGGAGCAGGGGGGCTGCGGCTCACAGTAGCGCCAAACCTTACTTTGGGAGGCGGTGTCACCCGTGCCCAGGAGCTGGAGTACCCCACCGAGCCTGGCCTGCTGCCCCCGCTCCGGAACCCCGACATCCTGGTGGGCGAGAACGACCTCACGGCGCTCAGCTACCTGCACGAGCCCGCCGTGCTGCACAACCTGCGCGTGCGCTTCGCCGAGGCGCGGCTCATCTACACCTACAGCGGTGAGGCTCGGGGAGGGGTGGTGTCCACGGGGAGGGCTGGGGCCGCCCCCCTCCAGGACCAGGAGAGACCCGGGTGCCGAGGCCAGGGGCCTCAGGAGGAGGGTGTTGTTTTGATTGACTTTGTACTGGGCTTGACCCCAGACCCTTTGCCCTGAGCTACATCCTCAGCCCTTCCTAAATTTCTAAACACGATGAGTGCTTGCCTTATTAGACCCGTGTGCAGTGCACGGCGATTGCCCTCCCGGTGTGGAGCTGGTGCAGGAACACAACGCGCCTCGATTCTGTTTACTCCCCCACCCCACCCCAGCCATTTTTCATTTTTCATTTTGAGACACAATCTTGCCAATCATTAACACGCCGCTCCTCCTGCCTCAGCTTCCCAGAGTGCTAGGATTCCCAGCGTGTGCCTCCACACCCTGTGAGAATGGAGGTTTCCGCTGGTCACGCCCCTGGAAGCTGCAGTCCCGGGGTGCGGCGCCTGCCTGTGCTCAGCACCGGGAGGTGGCACAGGGCACCCCCTGTAAGGCAGTAGCCATTAGCCGGGCCTCTCTTCCACTGCCACCCTGGGGCTCATCTGCCCCCAGTGACCCCCAAAGGTGCCACCACTCGCTGTCACTGCCCTGTGACCTCAGTGAACACTGATGAGGTCCCGAGGTGACCCTACCACTGGATGTCGCAGCCCTGTGACCTCAGTGAATGCTGGGACAGGGTTTGCCCTACAGCTGCCAACCTTTTTCTGCAGGCATCATCCTGGTGGCCATAAATCCGTACAAGCAGCTGCCGATCTACGGGGACGCCATCATCCACGCCTACAGCGGGCAGAACATGGGCGACATGGACCCACACATCTTCGCCGTGGCGGAGGAGGCCTACAAGCAGATGGCCAGGTAACGCTGTGTCGCCCCTTCACGCCTCTTTGGTCCAGCATCTGTGTCCATAGGCACAGAAGTGAAAACCTCCTCAGCCTCACACACACCTGGTGCTTTGGCCGGAGCTGTCACACATGGCCAGCTCCATCTAGGTTCTCAGTTTCCTTTTGGCAACACCGGGTAGCAGGCCAGGGTCACACATGTTGGGTCACACCCAGCCCTGTGGTTCCCTCTGGGCCTGGCCAAGTCACCAAGGAGAAACTGAGGCATGGGCCGTGAACGAGCCAGACATTCCGGGAACCAGTCCTCCTCCCCTTGCTCAGATCAGGGGCTAGACAGGGCCTCTCCAAGACATGGGCGACTCAGTGACACCCAGTTCCCAGGTGAGACCCGCATCCTCAGGGCCAGCGCCCAGCCACATCCCCTTGCTCCAAGTCACAGTGTGCCCAGGTACTGTTGTCCGTCTGGCTCCCCATGAGGTGGTCAGGATGCACACACACAGCAGTGGGGGGACCCACAGCTATCACCAGTCCCTGGGAAGGGAGGCAGAAGGACATCGGGTAGTGGTGGCAGCAGCCCCAGGATCTCGCAGCCCCAAATGTCCCTGCTTCAGGCTCCTTGTGGCTACAGGTTTGGTCACCTTGGTGGCCACAGCCCAGCCACCAGCCATGGAAGCTCACTGGGACTGCAGGGCAGCATTGACCTCCCCCTGGTGTCCCTTTTTGGCCCTGTGGCATAGGTGTGCTTGCTTCTAGGCTGGTGTCAGGACTCCTGGCTTTAACGCCCCAGTCTATCTCCCTGCCTGAGGGGCCAGGTCACATGGTAAGACCAGGAGCCTGGGTCTGGGGTCCCCTGTCCAAGTCACCCCTATAGCACACACATGTCCTGGGACTTTTGTGAGTCTGAGAATGCGTATAAAGTGTTCCCCACTGCCTGGTGTGTAAGTCACGGCCTGTGCACAGAATGTTACTGTGCCATTGTAATCTCAGAGCATGAAAAGTTTGACACATTTTTAAAATACCTGAATTACATAAAGAAGCACATGGGCTGCAGAGCGCATGTGTCCCTGGATGGCGCCTTTGTCATGGGCCTGCCATCAGTGGATGCCCTGGTGATGAGGGGCTGCACGCTGTTCTCCAACCATCATGCGGGCTGGTCGTCGAGTCTCCTCAGCACTGCGGGACAGGCCCTGAGGAATGACTAGCTTGTTGTGTGGGCAGTGAGCCCGCTGCCGGGCACCTGCTTCCTCCTGGATCAGGAATTGGGGACAGGCACTGGCATATGCATTCCACACATGCCATCCAGTCCCCTGTTGGGTGCCCAGTCTGTCAGGGGACTGTGACTGGGTGGCTGCACACCAGCGGCCCAGTGCCCACCCAGCTTCCTGTGCTTCACCCAGTGCCTGTATATGAGGGCGGCCGACCTGGGCCTGCTAGTGCATCTGGGGCTTCGTTGGGGACACACAGAACACTGCTTTGTCACCCAGGAGGAAACGCCCTGAAGGCTTAGGGCCGTGGCACAGGGTCCCCTTCTCTCAGCTGGCAGCATTTTGCCTTGGCCCATGGGCTGCTGCTCAGGCTCCCTCGAACCATGCCACCCCTGTAATGAGAAGAGCAGACAGCGACACCCTCTCCCCTCTGCTCCAGGAACAACAGAAACCAGTCAGTGATTGTCAGCGGCGAGTCTGGGGCCGGCAAGACTGTGTCGGCCCGCTATGCCATGCGGTACTTCGCCATGGTCAGCAGGTCCAGCAGCAAAGCCCAGGTGGAGGACAGGGTCCTGGCATCCAACCCCATCACAGAGGTGGGCGTGGGGACTGGGTGGTGTGGGCGCAGCTCCAGGTCTCTGTGGGGTGTGGGGCTCCTCACTGCTGCAGGCTAGGGGCTGTCCTCAGGTTAGCAGAGTGCCAGACAGCAGTGCCCAGAAAGCGCCCTTCCATGACCCGTTTCGCAGGCCCAGAGCTCGTACTTGGGCCAACTGCTTACCATGGTGTGAGTCTGCCCTGCCCCACAGGGCCACACAGAGCCCCGGGTGAGGCCCAGTAGCTCCGACCCAGTCACCTGCACAGCGAGATGAGGACCGATCTGGACCCGTGTAGCAGAGCAGCTGGTAATGCAGGTCTTTGGACTTGGAGGCCTCTCCTCCCTGCTGACCAAATTGCAACCCTAATCTGCAGTGACTGGTTCCTGGCCCCGCCCATTAGGCCACTGCTCCGGGTCCTGGTGGGACATAGCGGCAAGGAGGAAAGCCCAGTCCCCAGCCTGGGCTCCTCAAAGCTGCCACAGGCACACTGAGCACTGAGAGGGAAAGGGGTGACGTCCAGCTGCACCCAGGGCCACAGCTTAGGGACATCAGCCAGCCAGAGACAGAGGTGACCGTCCCAAAGATAGGCAGGACACTCACCACAGGGCAGTGTCACAGCATGTGCCAGGGCCTAGGCATGAGGATGTGTGATCCAGGCAGGGAACCAGGGCTTCCTACTGAGCTACATCTCTGCTTTTTTAATTTTTATTTTGAGACAGGGTCTCTCCAGGCCATTCAGTTACCCAGGTGGGGTTGGCCCTTTCCATCCTTTTCGATTCTCCTGCCTCAGCCTCCCAGAGTGCTGGAATTACAGGCGGGCACCACCACATCCCTCTGCCAGTGGACAGTTGCATGTGGCTGTGTCGTTAGGGTTTGTCTCCCACAGATTGTAAGCTCTGTGAAGACAGGACCACGTCTGGTTTGTCCACCTGTGCTCACCAAACCTATGGCTGTAGGTGACAGCAGATATTCAGGGACAAGGGCCCTGAGTGTCTGGGCAGGAGTGCAGCACTAGCGCACGGGGCCCGTCTGCTCCCACAGAACGAAAACAGAATCAACCCCAAGAGAAGGCAAAACTCAGGCCTACAGGAAGGGGGGTGCGATCGGGGAAGTAGTGAGGGGAGCTCAGAGGGTTACCTGGACTCCCAGTCCCTGGAGACTCGGTCCGCTGGCTCACAGCAGGAATGGCGAGGTGGAGGGGACTGGGGGCACAAAGGCTGCTCACCTCTTGGTGGCCAGGATGCAGGAAGAGAGGAGCTGGGGACAGGCATGCACCCCTGCAGGTCACCCTCGGCAGCCACCTCCAACCAGGCTGCTGCACATTCAGCCATGGAGTCAGCCATGGATCTGGTCACCTTCCATGCACAGGGGCCCTGAGGAGCACTTTAGGCTGAGCCATGAACACTAGAAAAAGTGACGTAACTTGCACCCTCCCCAACATACCGAACGTGGACTGCAGGGCCGCGAACCACGGAGCTCGTGCTCTTCCCGCGCCTCCTCGTGTCTCCAGGGGAGGGGGCACCTGCGTCCTGCCCGCACTACCATCCATCTCCAGCTGCGCCTCTCCCCTCAGGCCCTCCCCGTCAGGCCTGCCCCCACGCACAGGACCGAATGTCACTAGACATGCTTTAGTGATCTTGATGCACAGATCTCCTAATGTTATTTCAAGAGAGCCTCGTGTCGTCTAGGCTGTCGGGAATGCCAAGACCACCCGCAATGACAACAGCAGTCGCTTTGGGAAATACACAGAAATCAGCTTCGATGAGAAAAACCAGATTATAGGAGCCAACATGAGAACGTACCTGCTGGAGAAATCGAGAGTTGTCTTTCAAGTAAGAATAAAAGTATGGGGGGGGGGAGGCTTGAGAGCTAGCTTTGTTGTTTAAGTACCAGCTGGGGCCAACCCAGGCAGGCACAGGGGACTGTGGTTTGGTCCCCAACTCCCCATGCCTTACCAGACCTGCCCTTAAGGCAGCCTGGGCCAGCCAAAAAAAAGAAAGAAAAAAGTATTCACGGACTTTCTTTTTCCCCTGACTTTCACATGTTACCTGGCTACTGCGTAGACAACCTGCGCTGTTCTGTGACTTGAAGAATCCAGTCTTCCTGTCTTTCATTTGCAGTCTGGATTCTCACTTTTAAGGAAACTGGAGGCTGGGTGTCCATCAGTGGAGTTGTGTGTTTGGGGAGAGAGTTTTGATTTCAAGTTTCGAAACATTTAGAAAAAGAGGGAAGGAGACCAATCGGAGAAATTGCAGAAGCCCAGGCCGCGTCATGTGCAGGCAACAGCCTTGGGTTGGTGGCCCGTAGCAGCGAGAGAGCGCCGGGCTGTGGGTGACTCTGTCCACCCGGGAGGAGGCAGAGCTGGGCTGGGACAGAGGCCACTCTGGTGGCCATAGCCGCTGTTCCTGTCCTCACTGCTCTAACAGGGCCCCCAGCTGTCACCAGCTTGAGGAGACGTGTGGGGGGCAGATCATCCCAGTTAGCTCTCTGGGACTCTCAATAGGAGGGTCATTTGTGCCTGCAGAGCTGGTCCCCTAATGTGGGGACCTTTTTTGTTTTGCAGTCGGAAAACGAACGGAATTACCACATTTTCTACCAGCTCTGTGCATCTGCACAGCGGCCAGAGTTCAGATGTCTGAAGCTGGGTATGTGCCGGATGCAGGGCACAGGGCCTCTTCTTGGGGGCTTGGATTCTTACTTCCTGTAGTGCCGTCACGTGCCTTCCCTAAACGCATCATGTCTAAAGCCATGAGATCCTCCTGCTTCAAGGGTGGAACCCACATAGGTACCCAGATACAGAACTGGGCCAGGCCAGAGGGGTGCCCAGCCAGGGGTGCCCCACTGCTTCCCAAGACCTTGGGGTGAGTTCATGCCACCTGAAGGCGCTCTGTGTGGGTCGCAGCCCAGCGTCACTGCTGTGGGCCACCGTCCCACGGCTGTTGCCTCATGGTAACGCTGCCTGGGCTTCTGCAGTTTCCTCCACTGGGCTGAATCCCGGCATGGTGACTGAACCGCCACGTCACGGTTCCCCTCAGCGACTTGCCCTACGCGCCGTGGCCCGGGCCTCCCTGTCTGGGCCTCTGCACTGTGCTGCTGGTAAGAACCAGCCTGGAGCCTCGGGCTCTGCAGATTTCACATGAAGGTGCCATTCGTGCCCTACCTGCCACAGCTCCAGAGCTGCGCGTGGAGGGGGCTTTGCTGCTCTCTGCTGTGTACCCGTGCTGTGGCCATCTGGGACCCACAGACGCCATGCCATCACCTGGCCCAGCAGCCTAGGAGCAAGGCCTGGAGCTCCCTGCTGTCCACCCCACCCCCTCCGTTGTGGTGCGCGGGTCTCAGGTGCATGTGGCAAATGCTCGCTGTCCTCTCGGTCCCAGGTCGTGCAGAAGAGTTCAATTACACAAGGATGGGTGGCAATGTGGTCATCGAGGGTGTGGACGACGGGGCGGACCTGGTGGAGACACAGAAGACCTTCTCGCTGCTTGGTGAGTGAGCCAGCGTCCCAGGCTGGGGCTCAGATGGGGAGGCAGCTGGGAGAGGAGGGAATGGCTGTCCCGGAGAGCAGGCGTGGTGCTCATCTCTCCCCACCCCACCCCTGCGCTGGGGCAGGGCACCAGCCTGGGCCTGCTCCTCAGCCGGGACTAGAAAAGCAAAGCTGCCACATGGGCGCACCAGAGTACCTGCCGGGGCTGAGGAAGCAGAGACTAAGCCGGCGAACCCGCTCGGGGCCATGAGGGGCTTTGCTACCTATGAGTGACTCCTGCGAATCTTGCCGTGCCCTGTGGAGGAGGGGCACAGGGAAACTGAGGCACAGAAGACCACCTGGTCAGGGTGTACAGACTGACTTTGCATGCTGGACATCTTAAAATAGCTCATTTTTATGCAGAAGCCAAGGTTGGATGTTGGCCCCAGGGCCACCGGGTGTCCTCAGCACCTCGGGACACCTTAGTGCCTAGAACTCATGCCCACGATGGGCTGTGGACCTGGACACAATCGTCCTTACGTCCTCCCTGTAACCACCAGCTCAGCCCTGGGCTGGCCGCTGTGAGGTGAGGGACGCTCACATTTTTTTTTTTTTTTTGCTCCGAATGCCTTCAGGGCAGGTTTGGCTGGCTTGAGTTGTAGGGATCGAACCACAGCAACCTGAACCTGACTTTTTGAAGCAGCCACTTAAAGAACTGAGCTAAGAGGCAGGCCCCCCTAAGGGGCGGGCCCCTGTTCACATCTTGCAGAGGTCTCGGCTGCTGCGTTTCCCTGGTGGGCTTGTGTGTGGTATTGACAGTCACAGGCAGTCAAGGTTAGAGTGCGTCCATTCGGGTGGCAGACAAGATGGGCATCGTTGGTGACAGAGGAGAGTGGAGATTCCCAATGTGAAACCCCAACCTGCTTCCCAGAAACACCTGGCCCGGCCTGAAGGAGCGCTTCATGCACAGAGCTCTGCCAACTGTGAGGGTAACAGGGCCACCCGTCCTGGTGCCTGCCTGCCCATCTCCAACTTGAACATGTCTGGCTTTGGGTCAAGGGGACCTAAACTGGATGGCAGCCGGGCCACCAGGGAGACCCCTCCTCTGGGCCCTTCTCTTCCCCTGGATGCTACGTGAGGTTGCAGGGTGCTGCGCTAGGCCTGTCACTCAGGTCCCCATAATGCCATGCATCTCATGCCTCACTCTGTAGCTGGTTTCTTTCTCAGACATGTACGGAAGGCCCAGGTAGAATCTCCAGATTGTTTTTTTCAGGACCAGGGTTTGAACCCAAGGCCTGCACCATGAGCCACATCCCCAGCCTCCCACCTCCCTTGGGAGCCATGCTTGCTAGGTTAGTAACTGCCCAGGGAGGACTGTGCCTTGCGACCCTCCTGCCTCAGCCTCTGGCAGTGAGAGGAGCAGCAGAGCTTTCTATGAAGCAACCTCAGAAGCTGAGCAGCAGCACTGGCATTGTGTTCTCTGTGGACTGGGCACAGTGACCTGGTGCCAGCTCAGGCTTGGGACTCTCGGGGAGGGAGCCCCAAGTGTGGGGAGCCAGGGGGCTGCGTACTGGGTCACTTTTGGAGAGGCACCACCCACACTATGGGATGTCTCGAGGGCAGAGTTGGCGTCTGGAAACAGCTCAGGAACCATGCACGTGGGCCTGGCGTGAGCCCATGCACACACAGTGGACACGGCCACTGCCCGGCTCTGGGCCGGCTGCGACCTGTCATGACTCTGTGGTTGCTCTTGAACCCGGCCGTTCTGGGGGCTCTGGTGGCATCAGGGCCATATGACGCCACGGGGTGGACTCCAGGGGTGAGAAGCCATAGCTGCCCTGTCCCAGGTGGTGCGGCCCACGCAGCCCATGGGTTCTCTAGAGGTTTCTACTGTTCAGCCTGTATGTTCAGTGTCTCCCCATGTGTCCAAGGGTGGGGGTCCCCTGGGAACCCCATGCCAGAGGGGAAGGCCAGAGGGTCGGAGGTCTGTCTACTATTTTTTGTTTGATTGGTTGTTGGAGACAGTCCCACTTTGTAGCTCAGGCTGGCTTCCACATCTTTTTGGCTCACACCTTCTATCTTGTCGTGGTACTGGGGGCTGAACTCAAGGCCACATGCAGCTCCATCCCCCACCCTCTTTTGCAGGTTTTTATTTGGAGACGGGCTCACTGAGTTGCCAGGCTGGGCTCACACTTTCGATCCTCCTGCCTCCTCGGCCTCGGCCTCCTGAGTGCCGCCATAACTTCCTGGGGTGGTGCCTGGCTGGCCTGTGACCTTTGGAGGTGGCTCTCTGTAGTCTTTGGGACAGGGATCACTCACAGGCTCGGGGAGCAGAGGGGCAAATCCCGACTTTATGGGGAGGAGGTGCTGGTGCCGGGGATGGCAGCAGGCTACTGGGGGGCCTGGCGAAGCCCTAGCTCTGTCCCAGCCCCCACCACAGTGTGGGCCACAAGGCACGAGGCTCTGTGTCCCCCACGTATCAGAGCCTGAAGAGAGGGCATGTTGGTGCTGGACAAGGCCGCAGGGGCCTGTCAGGCACACAGCCGCTCTTTCCTGGTATCCTCCCCCAACAAACCCCATGAGGACTGAAAGCCCCACTGGTGGGTCTCTGGGGGCTAGGAACAGAGGGTCAGAGGGGCAGATAGGACTCAGAACCTAGGGGTTCGTGAGAAAAAGAGAAAAGAAAAGCTCTGAACATTTCTGGGTGAGGTGGCACACACCTGGAATCCCAGTGCTCTGGGCAGCTGAGGCAGGAGCCTGGGCAGTTAGTGACCTGTCTCAAAATTTTAAAATGGGTTAGGGATGCCCACAGGGAGACTGCGCACTGCATAAGTGCAGCCTCTTCTCGGGGAAGCTGGTGTGGAATGGCCGGGCAGGAGTCGGTCGGTGGCAGTCGCCCACAGCACTGCGCAGGGGAGGGGGTCCCCGGTGCCTGCCCGGAGCCTCGCCCCTGCCCAGGGCTGGGTGCTGACAAACAGAGCCCCTTGCTTCCAGGCTTCCAGGAGGACTTCCAGCTGGACGTGTTCACTGTTGTGGCCGCCATCCTTCACCTGGGCAATGTGCAGGTCACCACAGCAGGCGCCGAGAGGTCCTCCGTCAGTGTAAGGGCCTGCCCTCCCCTTCTGGAGGGAGGAAGCCTGGAGTCCTGGGTACACCCGCAGCTCCCCTGGGATGGGCACAGTTGTCCGTGTCTCTCTTTTACTCAGCACGGGTTCTGGGTGGCACCTGTGGCCCAGACACAGGCTCATTGTGGTAGCGGCTGTCACAGAGGAGCAACCACCCAGCTGGGTACAGCGGGCTTCCTCAGAGGGTGGCCAGGGAGAGGAGCCCTTCCCCAGGAAGCAGGAGGAGGCAGAGGCTGGGACATCCCGACCCCCAGGAGAGTCCCCATAGGGGCCCCGAAAGCAGAGCCCTCAGCAGACTGCTAGGGACTACAGGAAAGCTGGCATCTAGAGGGGTATGTGGGTGCTGACCACGCAGGCAGAAAGGCACCAGTGGGCCCGAGCAAAGGGGGATGGCAGTGTCCTGTGTCATCCTGCTGACCAGGTAGCTACGGCCATGCCTCAGGGGCCGGACACCTGGCTCAGGCAGTGCACAGGCAAGGAGTGTAGAGCTGACAGGTGGTGGCAGCCCTGTGTCCTCCCTGCGTCCTCACGTGGTGGGGACAGCAGTCCCTGGAGTCACTCTGCACAGGGTGCTGACCATGGTGGGCCACACTTACCATCCCACCTCACTCTAGGAAGCCCTACTGGCCCTTTCTCCAAACACCACAGGAACAGGCCATAGAACGTGTGTCCTGAGGGACACACACATTCCATTCTAACAGCATTTACATGAGTCCCCGAAGTCGCTAGTTTGCAGCAGTGGACCAGGGAGACTGAGGCGGGGGAGGGGAGCGTGTATCTCGGGCCTAGGACCAGGTATGGCTCACCCCAGCTCACAAGTGCCCGCTCCTGCCCTGTCCCTAGCGTGCGGGCCTCAGCCCATTGATCCCAAACAGAAGGCAGTGGACGAGGTGACCGCAGGCCCAGGTTGGGGTGGACAGTTCCCGCTTCCAGGCTCACTCGCCCCAGAGAAGCGGTACCTGTACTCTCCCCTCCGACTCCTAAAGACCAAGAGAGTGACGTCTACCCCCACACTGTCATCCAAGGATGCTTTATCTCACAAACTTTGTTTTCTAAGAAGTACTCATTTGCAGGAAAAACAAAAACTGACAAACTGGAAACCCTTCTCAGAGTCACCAGCTGCAGAGTGCTGGCCCTGATGCTGTCTGAGGGACACTTAAGTGTGGAACAGAGACTGCTGGGCAGAGGAGATGTGGGGGCACCACCCCCAAAGCACCCAGGTGCCACCTCTTTGCCTTCCTTCATGGCAGCAGGTCTCACTGAGAAGTTCTGGTTCCTTCGCAGGCAGGAGGACAGCAATGGCTGTGCCAGCCCCCCACCCCCACCCCGCAGAGATGAGCGTGAGCCAGAGTGACCAGGGCACTGGCCAGGGCTGCATGGGGAGTCAGGCAACAGGATTGCTCACCCCCCTCCTCTGCCCTTGCTATGCCACCCAGTGTCCTGGCGGGCTGAGACAGCATCCCCCATGGAAGTCCCCTGCGCCAGAGTAATGGCGGTGCCTAGCCACACACAGCCATCTCCCTGGCCAAGTGACATGAGCCCCAGGCCACCCTGGCTGTTGACAGAAGAGAGTGCCTCCCCTTCTTCACCTGCCCGGGCTCAGAGAGAAGTCAGGCACGCGGTATGCATCAGCAGGGACAAGCACCCAAGGCCGAAGCCTACAGGAGGAGAGGCCCACTTGTCTTGTGGCTCCCAGTGTGTTTGGCCTCTGGTTGGTAGCTCCAGGGCAGAGCAGCATGGCAGAGGGAGGACCTGCAGGGACGGCTACTTGCCTCATGGTGGCTGGGAAGCAGAAGGGCCCTGGGGCCACTCCACCGAGGCCCTGCTCCTGCAGCGCACTGGCCTGGAGCCTGTCATGGAGGGTTCCACAAACCTGCACCACACCCACAATGCCACGTCTTCCACACACAGGAGCCTTTGGGGACATTTTAGATAGAAACCATGACAACAGCCATGTGTAGGGAGAAGCCCCCCAGGAAGGGAGTCCCAGCCAGCTGTATCTGGTTGCTCCTGCGTGGGGCTGCCATGGCCACCCTGAGCCCTGGGGCACCCCTCCCTGTGACCTGGCACCATGGCCTGGCACCATACCGTAGGCAGGAATAGGGCCAAGCCACCCCCACAAGCACAGTGCAGGGGTGCCCAGGTGGGGGATGGCCCAGGTTGGCTGCGTCACTGCAACAGGGCCCCTCAGGGCTGGGTACCAGCCAGCGTCCCCACGTCCCCACCTACCTGGCTCCAGCCTGGGCTTTACCGCCTGGGGCCTGCCACCCTCGCACCAGCTCCTGCTGTGCCTGGCGCAGGGCTGGCGTGATGCTGACAGGCCCTCTGCTGTCCTTGAAGGAGGACGACAGTCACCTGCAGGTGTTCTGCGAGCTCCTGGGCCTGCGGTGTGACCAAGTGGCCCAGTGGCTGTGCCACCGGAAGATCGTCACCAGCTCGGAGACAGTGGTAAAGCCCATGACCAGGCCGCAGGCCCTGAATGCCAGGGACGCGCTGGCCAAGAAGATCTACGCGCACCTGTTCGACTTCATCGTGGGCAGGCTCAACGGGGCGCTGGGCTTCACGGGCAGGCGGTGCTGCTTCATTGGAGTTCTGGACATCTACGGGTAAGATGGCAGGGCCGCTCCTGCCGCGGCTTCTGCTGTGCTTTGCGTGGTTGTGGAGACAGCGTTCTCCGTTTTATGGGTACACCAGAGTGTTCAAGGTGTACAGTGAAGGTTGAAATTTAAAGTATTTGTTACAGTCAGAGCCACGCTGCCTGGATCGCCTCCCAAGCCCTTCCCCTCACCCTGAGCACAATTAAGTTCATGCCACTCTGTGATGCAGCTCTGGAGTCCTCTCTCCTGAGTGTCTTTAGGAGCTGTGATCAAATATTCAGTGAATGCTGCTGCCACATGCCACCCAGGGCAAAGGCAGGACCATAAAAACATGGCGCCACATCCCACCCACCTTCCCTTTTTTTAAATTCACCTAATTGGCTGGCCTTGGTACTGCGTGGCTGCTGGCTCTTCCCCAACATGAAGATGACCATGAAGAGAAAGGTTCTGAATCAATCCAGGGCGCTGAGGCAGCCAGGACAGCGCAGCCAGGCCCTCAGGAAGGACTCCGGAGCTGCTGCAGGAAGTGGCAAGAGTGCACGACAAGGGCGTTTAAAGCGAGGGGCAGGCAGTGTTTTGAGAGGCACTCGTTTGGCGGGTCTCATGCTGCGGTAACTCACGTACAAGTTTCCCGCACTCGCCGTATTTTTTGTCTAGCTGCAGCGCTGGGTGCAGGCACGGATGTGTTGACTCTGTCCCTCAAGGCCCCAGTACACACACCCCCTGCAGGGCCAGGGCCCTGACAAGCTCAGCAGGGGTGTGACCGAAGGAGGCGTAGCCTTCCCTGAGGGCCTGGACGGGGTCACACTGCCTGCAGACAGTTCTGGTTCCCGGCTTGAGCAGGCACCCTGGGATCACGGGCTGCGGGCCGGAGTGGACTTGCTCCCTCTCCAGGATCTACAGATGCCCCCAGGGGAGGCGAAGTCCCCTGGGCTTACAGCTGGGACCTGGCAGCTCCTGGCCTCTGTGTGTGGAGGATGGTGACGCCACACCAGCGCCTACGTGTTAGTGAGACACTGTGGTGTGACATGCCTGTCCTGTCCAGGCTGTGGTTTGTGTACAAGCACACCCCTCAGGGACCGCCAGGGAATCATGGGATGAACAGACTGCTGGCCTGGCACGAGAGCTCGGGTGTGTCTAAGACGCGTACAAATCCTAGCCGACTTCTAAGAAGCTCATGAAAATCTTCCCTATATGTGAATGCATGGGCTGCACTCCAGGTTTCTTTTCTGTTTTAATTTTGTTTAATCTGTGTTTCAGTTTTGAAACCTTTGATGTAAACAGCTTTGAACAGTTCTGCATCAATTATGCCAATGAAAAGCTGCAGCAACAGTTTAACCTGGTAGGTGGCTTTCTTGCCTCTCAGAACCAGAAACCGAACCACATCAGGGCTGGACCTGTGTGAGGCCCACGGGGGAGGAGCTCCGATCTGCACCAGCCTCCCTCCCTCCTTGCCTCCGTCCTTCTCTCCCTCCTTCCTTCTCCTTCTCCTCTTTTTCTTCACCTTCCTCCCTCCCTCTCGCCCTTTCTCTCATTTGTTTTGCTTTTTGCTTTCACACCAAGCTCCATCCCCAGCTTGGTTTTTTTGGACACATGGTCCCACTGAACCACTCAGTTGCCTGAGTTGGGCTTGAATTTGTGATCCTCTTGCCTCAGCCTCCCAGAGTGCTGGGATCACAGGTAGGAGTCCCTTCAGGTCATCGATGGGACCTTCCTAATCTCAGGATCAAACCTGTCTTCCCTCCCACGGCGACAGACAAGTCACGCTTGTTTCCCCAGTGAGATCTAAGATGAGTGGTAGCTACGCTGTGGAGCACGTTGAGTGTGTGCCAGGTCGGCACTGCGGCCTCTGACATTGCCCTGCACGCGTGTGTGCGTGTGTGCGTGCGTGTGTGCGTGTGCAGCAGTGTAACTCTCCCCTCTTAAAGGATCCCTGGCCCTGGGAACTCGTGGGGCTCACTGCTGCACCTCCTGGCCCATGCCCCACACTCAGGGCCCGGAATCTCCCAGACACTGTCCCGTGCTTCCCGCCCCACAGCTGCTCTCGGTTTTGCCTCCTGCCTCTGAGTCCGGCTGTTTCTGAAAGCTGTGGGGAAGCTGAGCTGCTTTGCCAGTGTCCCTGTCCTTGGCTTCCCTGGAGGAGGCTCTGTTCTGTCCTAACAGGCCCCCAGCCCAATCTGAAAGATGGCTCCGCCTCTGTTCCGTCCCGCAGGAGCCCCAGGCAGATGCTCCCTGACCCTGCCTGCTCCCCCACCCCCTCCAGGGCTTTAGCACAAGTCTGCGCCTACCTGTGTCACTGGCAGGGGACTCACCTGAGTCCCTCCGTGGATGTCTCTTCCCTCCCTCCCCCAGTCACGCATGTTCAGCCCCAGCCCATGGCGACTTCCTCTTCACATGGCACTGAGGAACAGCAGCTGAGCTCATCCCAGGGCACAGCGAGTGTGCCCTGCTGGCTCCGTCCTTCCATGCATGATGTCCCCAGCCTTAGTGGCCGTGTGCCCCTGGTCACGCGCCTGACCTGCAGGTCCCTGTCTTCTTTCCCACTCTTCTCTCCCCTCCTCCCCTCCTCTTTGTGAATCACTCTCACTGTGGACCGTGGGGTCAGGGGACACTGCAGTAAGGACCTTGGGCTTGGCTGCTGCTGCCAAGTCCAGGAGGATGCGAAGGCCTCATATGCGCTGCGTGTGTCTGGCCGGGGCACGTCCCTGGTTGCACTTCCAGCTCACTGCCCTGGTCATGTTGGCTCAGTCCTTTGTCTTCCCGGGGATCGTCCTGATGCCCTCACACCCCAACCATAGGGGGAAAGTTCCCTGAGCAGGGGGTATCTCACACTGGCCAATCAGCCAGTGCCCAAGGACCACTGTCCCCTCCCCAGAGAGGCCAGGTCTCCACTCCTGGGCAGCTGCGACTATCGTGTGAGCAGGGGTGTCCCGCAGCCATGCTGGTTCCTGGGCTGCGCTTCTGATGAACGGGGCTGGCCCAGGAGGTGGGAACACACGCAGACTTGTGTTGGGGTCGTGGCCTTGACCTTAGGAGGGGTTGTCAGAACCCCAGGATCTTCCAGCCAAAACGGGAACACGGCAAAGCCCCCCCCCCCCCGCTGACCTTGCCAAGATGGCCACTTTTCCTTCCCCTCCCCTGGCACCTAGCACGTCTTCAAGCTGGAGCAGGAGGAGTACATGAAGGAGGACATCCCCTGGACCCTGATCGACTTCTACGACAACCAGCCTGTCATCGACCTCATTGAAGCAAGAATGGGCATTTTGGAGTTGCTGGACGAAGAATGCTTGGTAAGTGCGGAGAATGGACTTTGACTTGCCGAGCACGGTGGTGCACACCTGCATTCCCACACTCAAGAAGCTGAACTACACAGCAAGCCCTTCTCAGTGGTAATAGATTAGTGTTTGTTGTTTTTTTTTAAACTGTCCTTGGTGCATCTCCTCATTGGGACACCAGCTCTGGGGCCTGAGCAGGCACCCAGGACCCTCCCCGCAGGGGCACACAGCCCCAGGTAATGTGAAGCATGCTGGGAGCAGCTCATGCCTGCACTGGGTTGCCTGTCATTGTCTCACCACGTCCTGGGCCCTGAGAGCCCCAGGGGCAGTCAGAGATGGCACCGCTGTGACAGCACAACAGGCGGCAGTTTGCAGGGGCAGCCCAGGTTCTACTCTGCAAGATCGTGCTCGAGGTTTACAGGATGTGTCTGGAGCCTGCTCCAGGCCTCCTGCCCACAAGTGCCTACTTACTGCGCTGGGAGCGCTCTCACTCTGTGACACTCCTCACAGCCCCTCAGGGCCTGGGCCTGCTAGGGAGAGAGACCTGGGCAGAGAACCAGCACCGCGGCACGGTCGCCAGGCCAGGCCACACAGGGCCGGAGCCTCTAGGTGGAGGCTTGGAGGGGCTGGTGCAGGGCTTTGTTCTGGTTTTGGTGCTAGGGAGGGATGATGCACAGGGCCTTTGCACTGAGTTCTGTCCCCAGCACGTGTTAGTTTTCACTTAGAGACAGGGTTTCACTAAGTCACTAAGTTGCACAGGCTGAGCTCAAGCTCACTGTCCTCTTGCCTCAGCCTCCCAGAGTGCTGGCTTCTAGGAGGTGCGTGTACGGCTCTGCACGGGGTTTCCGAGGCCAGTGTTACCAAGAAGGAACCGAGAGTCACCTGGGCGCGTGCGGGTTGAGCCCCCCAGGTCTGGCCTGAATGTGGCCCTGTTCAGAATCACCAGGGTGAAGAGCCACGCTGCAGCATGCGAAGGCCCAGGGGCAGAGCTTCGCCCACAGGAGTAGCCAGTCAGGTCTGAGATAAACAGCCACGTTCCTTAGGCACCCGTGCTCCCTGGAAAGAGAGGCCTGCTGCCCCGGAAAACCCGCGGGTTTTCCAGAACCTGAGACTTCTGGGAGAACCATGAAGTGCTGCCAGTTGTGCAGATGGGGAACCTTCGCTGCTACAGCACCGCGGCCATTTCCTTCAGCTCACGACGTCTTGCTTCTAAATATAGGGTGTCCCTGTAGGAATCACTCTAATACCCCATAAATACATGCAAGCGTTGTCAGTAACAGGAAAAAGCAAGGAAAGCACACCCAGAGCAAGGAAAGCACAGGGCTACAGTAGTGAGTGCCAGTGGGCTGGGGTCCTTAGAGCCAGCATGTGGGCGGGGCCGGCACCTGGGCGGGGCCGGCACCTGGGCGGGGCCGGCACCTGGGCGGGGCCGGCACCTGGGCGGGGCCGGCACCTGGGCGGGGTCAGCGTGCGCACTCTCCTTTCCCGCCCACAGCTCTTACCTGCCCTCTGGTTTGCTTTTCTGCAGTTACCACACGGAACAGACGAGAACTGGCTTCAGAAACTGTATAATAATTTCATCAACAAGAACTCTCTATTTGAAAAACCAAGGATGTCCAATACATCCTTCATCATCCAGCACTTTGCTGACAAGGTGCGTGATGCCCAAGCGCGTGGTCCCCTGGGCCTGAGTGGTTTCCGCGGGGGTGGCCCGGCTTAGCGTCCTGTAGCTTCAAGGAAGTGCAGGGGTGCGTGCACTTGTGCGTGTGCGTGTGTGCATGCGTGCGTGGTACTGAGGATTGAAGCCGAGGCCTGGGCCCTGAGCTACATCCCCAGCCCTTTTTATTTTTTGAGGCAGGGTCCCATTACATTGCCTAGGCTGGGCTTGAACTTGCCAACCCAGGGTGCCAGGGTTACAGGCCTGCAGAACTATGACCTGTTTATTGAACAATTGTTAATTTTTTATGACAAAGTATAGGAGTCTCGGCTGTACGGCTTTAATGTGCGATTACCTTAAGGACTTCATTCTTAGCTCGGGGTTTGCTGTAAGTTCTTGGTCCTCCTGTACTTATTTCCCCGGCAACATTGTGAGTAATCGAGACAATAACATTGTTCCTGGTGCTGAAACTTGCATGGTTTTTGCAGTTTACCTTTTCTGTTAAACCAGAGACTCTTTCTTACAGAAGCCTGGCAGGGTAACTCAGCACAATGATGGCTTTCTAGGCGATGTTTTTTCCTCTACATAGGTCTTGTATGTTTTGCTAAACAGTGGTCCTTCCCTGAAAACAGTAGGCCCAGGTAGCTGTGTCAGTAGAGCATCAGACGTTTGCCAGGCTCCCACCTGTGATCTCAGCACCTGGGAGGCAGAGGCAGGAGGACTGCTGAGAGTTGAAGGCCAGCCTAGGCTGCATAGAGAGACCTTGTCTCAAGAAAATGAAAAAGAAACGGAGGGGAGGGGAGGGGGAAGAGGAAGAAAGAGGGGGAGGGGAAAGGGAAGGGAAGAAATGGAGGGGGAGGACAGGGAAGGGAGGAGAGAGGAGGGAGAGGGACAGTGGCATTCATTGTCTTGATTACTCACAATGTCACTGGGGAAATAAGTAGAGGACCACGTGCTTACAGCAAACCCTGAGCTCAGAAATGAAGTCCTTAACATAATCACATGTTAAAGCAGTATAGCCAAGACTCCCATGCTGTGGGAGTCTTGTCATAAAAAATTAAGAATTGCTCAACAAACAGGGGAAGGAGGGGAAGGAGGAAAAGGGAAGAGAGAGGAGGAGAAGGGCAGGGGGAGGGAGGGGAGGGAAGTGGGAGGGGAGGGAGGAGGGAAGAGGAGGAGGAGGAGGAGGAGGAGGAGGAGGGGAGTGGAGAGGAACATTATTGTAATATCACACCCCAGAAAGCTTAGAAGCAACAAGGGAAACGCCCCCCCTAAGAACTCATTCTCTGCTCGTTGCCCTCCTACTGGCTGTTGGTGTCGTGGCCCGTGCAGGGCTCCTGGGAGCAGCCTGTCCTCGTGGGCCCCTGAGCAACAGGCTGGGGACCACGATGGTGCTGGCAGACACCCCCTCCCCTGAGCACAGCAGGAGTGCTGTGAAGCAGGATGCAGCCTGGAACCCTGCGTGTAAAGCAAGTCCTCACCACAGAGCCACCCAGGCTGAAATGAATTCTTCATATGCCTTAGAATTTAAGAAAGGTCCACATCACGCACCGGAGTGTTCTGCCCCCACATACCTGTAACCCAGCCACGCGGGAGGCTGAGGCAGGAGAAGCCCAAGCTCAAGGCCAGCCTGGTCCCTGATAAAAAGCCCAAGAGGTGCACATGCCACACTGAACTAAATCCCCTCGTTCTCACTTACAGCTGTAGGGCTCCAGTGCATGGGAAAGGGCAGAGGCCAGACCCCACTCCAGCGCCTATGGGACCTACCCGGAGGTCTTTCCCTTAGCTCCTGCACTTGGAGCTCCCTGTCTGTTCCCACCCAGAGACCCCCCCCTGAGCGCACATGTAGCTGCTGGGCACAGCTGGGGGAGCCGAACCCCACCGTGGTCTAGACGAGATTCTCAGCCAGGCGGGCGCCCAAGGAGGAAGCCACCTGAAAGCGCAGCTCCTCCTCATTTTCCCTCTCAGGGCCCCCCAGAGCCTCTGCCCCGGGCACCACATTGCCCTCGGCATGCAGGGCCTGTGTCTGTGTCCTTGCCCAGCTGGGCCAGGGATCCACAGCAGCTCTCTGAAAGGATTAGCACAGCCGCCCAGCACGGCCTCGCCCGGGCCACAGCCAGCCTGTGCCCTAGTGTCCCTGCCAGAGCCCATGCCTGAGGCCTGCATGGCGTCTTTGGCATCAGTTTTAAGTGTCATTTTTATTTTCCATGCTGGAGTTCAAGCCAGGGCCTTTTGTACTAAGCAGGTCCACCACTGAGCCTAGGTCTTAGTTTAATTCTCAATATATTGTTTAATTTATGAAAGCTACAAATCTCAAATTAAAATAGGTAACATACACACCCCCCTGTAATCTGCTACCTGGAGGTTGAGGCTAAAGGATGACAAGTTTGAGGCCAGTCTGGAAAACAGAGAGAGACTCTGTGCCAGTCATGACAAGGTGCTGGCTGCGGCTCCGTGGCGGAGGGAGGCTTCGGATTAGCGCCATCTGACAGCCTCTGGTCTGTGTGCACCAAGACAGCTTCCGGAGCCAGAGTCTGAGGCCCACGCACCCCATGTGCCCTGGTGGCCGGCCCGGGCCGGGCGGTCCTCAGCGGTGTTCTGCCCTCTCTGCCCTGCGGTGCTGACCTCAGCGCCCAGGCGACACCACGGAGGCTTCCTTCTGCTAAGGAACCCTGGGCCAGGTCTTCGCGTATGACCTGCATGTGCCCCAGGGGACGGTGGGGTGGGCAGTGGGCAGAGGAATTGGGGCAGGAGTTCCTGGCTTTACTTTGGAGACCCGTGCTGGGGCCCCAGGGTTTCTGTCCCCGAGCTTGCTGGGCCGAGCTTCAGCAAGGTCACCTTAGCGTGCTCTGTTTTAAGCTATCCTTTGAGAGGGGCTGGGACAGCAGCTTGAGTTCCAGCACACTAAGGAGGAGGAGGAAGAAGGAAAGAGGGAGGAGGGAAAAAGGGGAGGGAGGAGGAAGTGGGAAAAGGAGAAGGGGTGGGGGATGGGGGAGGGAGAAAAGGGAAGAGAGGGAGGGGAGGAGGAGAGAGGTGGGAAAAGGAGGAGGGGAGGGGAGGAGGGGTAAAGGGGAGGGAAGAAGGGGAGGAGGAAGGAGAATGGGGTAGGGAGGAGAAAGAAGAGGAAAGGGAAGGAAGAAGGGGAAGAGGAGGGAGAATGGGTGAGGGAGGAGGGAGAAGGGGAAAAGGGAAGGGGGGAAGGGGAGGAGGAGAAAAGTGGGAGAAGGGGGAAGGGAAAGGAAGAGGAGGGAAGAGGGAAGAAGGGGAGGATGAGGGAAGAGGGGGAAAGGGGAGGGAGGAAGGGGAGGAAGAGAGGAAGGAAAGGGGGGAAAGGGAGGAGGAGAGAACTCAGATGTCAGCCCCTGAAACCCCGCGTCCCTCCGGCAGGTCCAGTACCAATGTGAGGGCTTCCTGGAGAAGAACAGAGACACGGTATATGAGACGCTGGTAGAGACCATGAGGGCGAGCACGGTGCGTGGAGTCCAAGGGCCCCGAGGGTGCTCAGCGTGCGACGGACGGGGGTGTAGGTGGCAGGAGGGGTGAGGGTGGGCTCACGAGTGTGGTGGTGCGTGTGTGTGTGTGTGTGTGTGACTGTGCATGTGCGCAGGCTGCCTGGGTGGTGGAGCGATGTGGCTCGAAGGCCTCTTGGAGTGGATGGGTGAGAAGACCCTCTGGGGTGTGGGACAGGGAGGAGGGACGGTGACCTCTTGGGTAAGGGACCCCAGCACACACTGTCATTCGTCCACGTGGTGTCCACGGCACTCACCACGTATCAGGCTCCGTCCTTTGCCTCCCACGTGGGCAGCGCTGGGCAGCACGGTGTCCAAGAGGTCAGTCGGGAGCTGGGTCAGCAGGAGCGCTGCTCCGGGGCGAGCTTCCTGCAGGGGCCTGTGCCACCGGTCCAGAAGGGAGCTGGGCTTTTCCTTTTCTTCCTTAAACATTGCTTTAAATCTTAAGAACGGGTTATTCATATGTAAGCCTTTATTTTTTCGATGATTCAGATGTTGTATTTATTTTACCTGTTAAGATCCCAGTCGATGGTTGATGTTCAGAGTGTTGACAGTTTCCCGAGTGAGCCAGGGCCTTCGCTCATGCCTGGGGACAGCCCGCACGAGACAGCTGCAGCTTAACCTCACTACCCTCAAGCCCTGCCGTGGAGGTGCACCACGGTGGATGCGCAGAATTAGTTGATTTTATGCACCTAGAATCTGGAAGGCGGAGGTCCCTGAGCACTCGGTGGGATTCAGACCTGCCCTTGGTAGAGGCTGTCTTGGGGGATTCAGTGGCTCATTTGAGGAACAGAATATGAGGCTCACCCTGAGAAGCGATAAGCACCCAAAGGAAGAACTGCTGGGCCCCTCTGATCTCAGGGAAGCTGCGGCAGGCCGGTCACAAGTTTGAGCCCAGCCTGGGCAACCTGGCAAGACCATATGCCAAAACTAAACACGAGCGCTGCGGCTGGGCTTGTTGCGCAGGTCCTGGATTCAGTCCCTCCACTGGCGAGGGGCGGGGCCGGAAGGAGGAGGGAAGGAACCTGGTGCAGAGCAGGGGGCGGGGCAGGAAGGAGGAGGGAAGGAACCGGGTGCAGAGCAGGAGGCAGGAAGAATGACCATGCGGAGGGGCTGACAGCACTGCATGGGGAGACGATGCAGTGAAGGGGGTGTGACACCGCCATAGCCCCAGCCGACCTAGACAGGGCCCGGAGGCAGCGGAGAGGGGACAGTTCGGGGAGCCAGAGGCAGATGGGAGCCGAACCTTCGGGGCATGCTGGCAACACCCAGACCTCAGACAGGCCCCCGCTCCTCGCGGTCTGCTGCTGTGCAGCAGGCAGAGGTGGGTGTGGGGCTCCTACCCACCCTTGCAGAGCCACCCCGGCCTGAGGACATCACAGCCCCCTCTCTTTTTCCAGTTTCACCTATGTGCCAACTTCTTCCAAGAAAGCCCGGCTCCTTTCTCTCCTTTCGGCTCAGCCATCACTGTGAAGCCTGCAAAGCAGGTGGTCAAACCCAACAGCAAGCACTTGCGGACCTCAGTGGGGAGCAAGGTACTCAGGGGCTGGGGCGGTGGACAGGAGAGCCCAGGTCAGTGGGCATAGATGCCAGTGCCCACACGAGGCCCGCAGCAGACGCACCAGCAGGACTGGCTGGGCTCAGCCCCAGGGACACGGGGTGGAGTTTGGACATCTGAGCCACCAGGACTGCTTGTGGGCTACCCCAGGTGCCTGCCCTGTGTGGTAGCCACGTGTCACCTGACTGCTGCCCATCTCCCAGTTCCGCAGCTCACTGGCCCTGCTCATGGAGACCCTCAATGCCACCACACCCCACTATGTCCGCTGCATCAAGCCCAATGACCGGAAGTTGCCCTTTGAGTGAGTGTCTAGTGCTGTGGGGTTGGAATTCTGCCGTCACCACTGGGCTGCGCACACCACTAGTTTTGCCTGCTTCTCAGCGATGCTGCCCTTGGCCTCTGTGCGTACAGCACAGGCTGACCTCTCCCTGGGCCCAGCAGGCAGTGGGTCCGGAAGCCCTGGCCACCAGGGGGCCCAGCCTCCAGCTTGATAGAAGGATGAGTGAGGGTTGGGGGCATGAAGGACAAGGGGCCAGAAGATGTGGCCCTCCCTAGGGCCTGACATGGCCACTTTGTCTCAGGATGCAACCCTTCTGCCTCAGCCTCCCAAGATGCTGGATGACGGCATGCATCCTGGAGCCCTTCTCCCTGTGGTGCTCTGTCCTGCTGTCCTGAAGCTCCCTGGACAGTGTCACAGATGGGCTATCTCTGTTAAGTTCTTTTGGCATGGCAGAGAAGCAGAAGTGAAAGAAAGGGAAGGGAAGGCCTTTATTACCATCGAGGCAGACATGGACAGGGTCCGTGTGGGACGAGGGGATCCCCTGACCCGAGACAAGGGAAGGCTGAGACTTTGCTAGGGGCACAGCTTGAAGGGAAAGTTTAGTGACACCTAAGGCACTGACTGTGGTCTCCCCTGTGGCACGGGAAAGGTGAAAGGAAGTTGTATCGAGGACTGGCGGTAGGGGTGAAGGAGGAGGTGGCTTCTGGGAGGATGAGCTGTTGTTCTGGAGATTCAGCCATGCTGAATCAGGGCCGTGATAATTTAACAGTGTACTCAGGCAGCAACCTATCATTCCCATCCTTTAGTTATCATGGCGGGGCACTGACTCTCTTAGACTGCTTCCTGCTGAGTGGTAGCCTCGTTTGGGGGGCGGGAAGGATTGGCAGGATGGCCAGCGCCCATGTAGAAGCTAGTGCCAGGTGTCTCAGCCGGAACAAAATGTTTATCATTACTGAAGGCTCTCATCCAAGACTGAAGAAACCTTGAAAAAGGTTTGAAAAGGCAGGGAGTGAGTAGACAAGTCATTACCATGATTAAAGAACCCAGAAGGGGAAGCAGGAAGGGGGCCCATGATCCAAGTGTGTCATTCTACCATGACCGTGACGAGGGGGAAAGAGTATTGATTTCCTAGTTCCTGCTATTTGTGCTCTAGGGGCTTAGGAAAGTGGGCGCCCTGGGAAGTGCCCTGAGTCTAGTTAGAGCCAAAGAAAGGAGCTGGGCCAAAGCAGGTGCAGCTCCACAATCAGTTTATTGAGGTGGCCTTTACAGGCCTATTGGCCTCTTTTACTCTAGATCTACTGACTGTGGCATATCTTGCCCTTTTTTTGAGTGTCTGCACTTGTTGAGTTACCATCTATGAACGATGTGTCAAAATAGGTGTAACTGGGGACCACCTGCTTGGGCCCCCCTCCTGTCTCTCAGACAGGAACTTTCTTTCCCTAAATAAATATATTCTGCTAAAAAAAGTAGTTGTAACTGCATTATTGATAACCCTGAGATCTTGAGCCAAAGGATAGGAGCCATTTAGGTTTAAGTACAGGAAGAATGGGAGTATTGTACAGTGAGTGGGCAGTTCTAAGGAAACCTTTGGTAAGGAGACAGCAAATTATAGGCTTGAGTCCCCATTGGTGTTTAGGGGTATTGGATATTGGGGAACACAGGGGAAGACTAAGGAACCCTGAGGTGAACTAGTGCAGGGGTAACGTGGGTGGCATGAGTAGGGATTGGAACTATCCCAGAGTATGTGGTCAACAAGGGAAGAAGGAGGGAGAAGCTGGCAGCACATAGAGGTTGGATATGTGGGGTGAGCACAGTGGGGAGAGAGGTGAAAGAGATGTGGACCTTTGGAAGGAGGTCTCTCCCCATGAGAGGTGTGGGGCAGGTTGGGATTGTAAGGAAATTATGATTGAAAAACAGTGTCTGGAGTCAGAAGGGAATGGGCTTGTCTAAAGGGATCATATAGGTCAGCAATCAACACATACTGTAGAGACTGTAGATCTAATACAGTGACCTAAAAACTCAGGAAAAACATTACATTTGGCCTCCATATCTATAAAAAAGAGTGTCCTACCTGAGATGTCTAGAGAGACTCGTGGCTCTGTCAAAGATACCTCAATGGGGGCCAGGGACCCTGAGTCCCATTGTTCCTCTTCAGTGGCAAGACCAAGTAGGTCAACTATTGATGGATCTGGCTGCAGCAAGTTCCCCTGTGAGGGTGGGGAATTGGGTGACTTAGCTGCTTCCTGGTGGACAGGGCAGTCACACGTCCAGTGACCCCCAAGCTTGTAAGTGGGACCGAGTACTGGTGGTGGCTGCAGTTTGGAGTAGGCTCGGGCCAGTGTCCTTTGCTGCACTTGAAACATGGTCCAGGAGGGTGTCTATTAGCACCATTTTGTTTAGGCTCAGCATCAACTTGTCAAGGTCCCACTTCGATGGGAACCTTGAGTGCTGCAGCGAATAGCTGGCACTTGTGAACAGTTAACTTTTTCTCTATTATTGAAGACACAGAAATTCAGATTAAGTAAGTCTCCCTGTGGGGCTTGAGGGCTGAGATCTGTTAACTGTGGTCAGGGAAGATTGGATATAGTTCTCTATATCTTGTAGCTATACTTTTCTGCTGGATGGTTAAGACCAAGTTAAAGTGAGACCTGTTAATTAAAATTAATTATTTGCTATGTATTAAGGCCACTTAATCTCATGTACTTTGGAACCAAGTAGAGTGCCCGTCTAGGACCAAAATGTTGGTTATTCTCTTAGCCCATTTATCTCTTTAATTTTTGGTCTCTAGACCTCAGTTATAGAACATCTAGAAAATAAGGCTAATGACATTACATTGCAGTGGGAGCAACACACTTATTAAAATTTTATCTGAGTATTAAGCACCTTGAAATATACAGGTGACCAGAGAACGGTTACTTCTTACCAACCGTGGATGTGTGAGTACTTCAATCCCTGTAGAACGTTAACAGACGACAGTTACACTTCTGCGGAGATCATTTGACATCAGTAGTCATGCGCAGTAGTACAGCGCAGCAGTCACGATGAAATCTGCATTTGGCTAAGCACCTCTAAATGCAGCGGCACATGCGCAGCCTGCGCATCACATGAGTTTCTGTTAGAAAATTATCATTTGACTGACGAATCATGTTGGCGTGACATGAACTTCTTATTACAAATATTTGAGGATAAGAGAAAGGCGTATGTTTAAATCTAAAAGAAAATATCATTATAAATAATCTCAGTTTATATTGTAGAATACTGTACATCTGGAAGGAATAAATATATTTAATATATCATGATATTAGCAATAACAAATATCAAACCAAAGTTACAGTTATATCACTCAGACCAGCTGGTAACTCAGGAAAAAGCATGTTTTTAAGTCTATATCCAGGATCTCAAATACAAAGAGGAACAGCTATTTATGAAATGACATACAAACACATAAACAAGTATAACAGAACACACAAACTAACATCTTTACAAAGTCAGAGTGCACTAAAATATATTTTTGGCCAAATTAGATTACAATCACTTTGTTTAAACTTTGTAATTATAAAAAGACTAGTCAGAACTTTCTGTAGGTCAGTTAGCAGAGATCTCTTATAAGAAGAATTTGAAAAACATAAAAATGTCTTATTTATAGTTATTACATATTTTTCTTTTAAGCCTACTACAATTTACCAAGCTTGAGTACGAACAAGCAAATGGAGCAGGAGTGTAAGGATTACGGGGCCGGGGAGACGGCTCAGTGGAATAAGCACTTGCCTGGCAAGCGCAAGGGCCTGAGTTCAATCCCGGGTTCCACCAAAAAAAAAAAGAGTGTAAGGATTAGGCACAGTACAGAGAGGAGCACTGCCAGCTCCCGAGTCCTGGACTTGCAGACTGGCAAGAAGGCCGTATTCCAGGCGGCCTGCCTTTCCCTCAGTGTACCTGACTCAAGCAATCTTTGAATGCGGGATTTCATCCCTCTTAGCTTTCATGACCACTGCGTATTGCCTCAAACAAAGTGGCTTCACGTGCCCCACTCCACTGTCACTAGAGTCACCTGAGGTGACAGACCTGAGGTGTCGCCTCTGCTCAAGCCTTTTGAAAACACTGAGCCCTCTCCAGTTTGCAGTGGGGCTGTGAGCCGGACCGCTATTGACAAAACTGCATCCGAATCTATCAAAAGTCTTAACAGGCTTTTCCCCTGTGTTGGCAGCAGTTACTGTCCTGGGGCCGAGAGGCAGAGACCCTCGACTCCGTTAATCTGAAACTTTCTGATTCCACCACAGACACTTTCTTCTTTCGCTCTCTAGCAGCTTTGGACGTTGTCCCTTGACCTTGCCCTTCTGTCTGCATTACGCACACTGCTCTGGATCCAGAGAAGCAGGACTTTTTCCACTTCCCACCTGGCCCTGCTTCCTACAGGCTGCCAGCATCACTTTTTTCTCCTGTCTGTGTTTCCATTCCGCATCCTCCCAGCTATGAAGCACTTTGTGAGTAACTTCTGTCAGCTGAGATCAGTTTCTTCCTGCAGGCTTCTCTAGCTTTTCAGCTTGTGGCAGATATCTGAGGCCGACTGACAGGGACTGAACCAGAGGAAGGAAGACTTTTTTTCTGACTTAGGCACAGGCTGGGGTAAGGCTGGGAAGACACTGACTTAGGATCCCTTCCTTTCGGCGCAGAGGTGGCTCAGCAGAAAGGGCAGGACACGTAAGGGCGCCGCGCTCTGTCTGCTGTGGTCCTGCTGTCTCACGCCCCACACAGCCAGCTTGCATGCCAGGGCGGATCGTCGAGGGAGGGGGCGCGCGGCCTAGGAAGACTGCTTTTGGGACAAATGAGTTAGAGACCTGGGTTGGGGCAGATGAAAGGTGAGGCTATGTTGGCAAAGAAGGCAGAGCAGGATGGATGGGTGGGCAGAGGAGAGAAGGACAAGGGCAGAAGGAGGAGAGTTGGACGTGCCCGCAAATGGGAGGGGGTGGTGGCAGGGCCTGAAAATGTAATTTCCAGTTGAGGAGCATGAGGAGGTTGAGGAGGGTCAGGCAAGAGGGAGGGGTGTCCCGAAGGGACAAAGGCTTTAAAGGAATTTCGGGCCATTTGCCATTGTGATAACAGAAGGTTTAAGGGACCAAAAGTTTCCCCTCTGGTCATTGGCTGCCATTGCCAAGTTTATATTGTGACCAGCCATCTGGAAGTAAACAATTAACTTTTTTGGTTTTATGACCTCCCAGAGGCCAAGGGAGCCAAGGTTATGGACAAGGCACCTCAGTAGGGTGTCCTTTGGAGGGTAGGAAGGAATATTTACCACAGTGACTGAATTTGAGGGGAGCTAAGTGCTTCACACTCCACAGAGCATCTACTGTCCAGAGTGTGAATTACAAGAACCTCACAGCTGTGTTGTGGTGGTTGTTTCAGTTGTCCCTGATCAGTGAGGGAGGAGAAACAGTACCCTGTCTCCGGGCGCGAGGGCAGAGCCCCCGCCCAACCAACATGAGAACAGCTCCCCCTGTCCAGAGGATGCTGCAGATTTCCTGACATGCACCCGTGATTTCTGAGACAGACTGAGATGAGAAACTGAGACAGGAAACTCTAAGAACTGAGAAATGGCTTACCTGTAAGAAATGAGGTGGATCAGTGTTGGAGGCAGGCTAGCAATGGCAGATAAGAGGTCCCACAAAGAGAGGGCTAGCCCAAAGGCAGGGAACGCAGAAACTGGGGTTTGGACCCCACCAGGAGCCACATGCCTTGCCTGTCTGAGTCATGGCACCAAAATGTGTTAGTTTTCTTTGGCGTGGCAGAGAGGAAGTAAGAGAAAGGGAGGGGAAAGGCCTTTATTGCCCTTGAGGTGGATACGGAGAGGATCTGGGGGAGATGAGAGGATCCTCTGACCTGGGACAATGGGAGGCTAAAATAGGATGGACTTTTGCTAGGGGCAGAGTTTGAGGGCCAGATTCAGTGACACTTAAGGAGATGATTGGGGTCTCCCTTGTGGTGTAGGAAAAATGGAACTGTGTCCAGGACTGGGGTAGGGAAGGAGGAGGAAGTGGTCATTGGGAAGATGAGCTGTTGTTTTGGAGAGTCAGCTGTGTTGAATCAGGGCCATAATAATTTAGCAGCTTGTACTCAGGCCAGAACCTATCAGCACCCTGGATGTGGCAGACCCATGTGCCCCTCCTGGCTGACCAGGCTTGACCTGCAGCGTGAGAGTGTCTGCCCAGGCTCCCTAGGTCCCTGTCCCAGGTGAGTCTCGGGTGCAGTCCCTGACACACTCTCAACCTGGCTTCTCTAAGGTTTGACTCAGTGCGAGTCGTGCAGCAGCTGCGTGCCTGCGGGGTCCTGGAAACCATTCGCATCAGTGCGCAGAGTTACCCATCCAGGTACGGCCTAGGCGCTCTCAGGAGGAGCCTCCGGCTTGGGGCATCACTGACCAGCACTGCCAGACTATTGGCTTCTGGGAGGTCCCACAGGAGGCCACAGAGGGTGCCAGATCAGCTGTGGGGGACAGGCCCCACCCAGTCCCCACGCCCACCCCGTGACTGGTGATGATCCCCTTGTCCTTGCCAGAGTGCTGGGGGGGGGTGGCTGAGGAGCTTGAGGGGCAGACACATGTGCCAGGATTGTAGTGTTGGGAGGGGCCACAGTGACCAGCCCCACCTTAGCCGAGTGTTGGAGTTGCCCAGGGGATCACACAACTGAGACCCTTGGTGTCCAGGTGGACGTACATAGAGTTCTACAGCCGCTACGGCATCCTCATGACCCGGCAGGAGCTGGCAGCAGGTGACAAGAAGAGGGTGTGCATGGCGGTGCTCCACAGGCTCATCCAGGTAGGGCCCCTGCCCACCCCAGGGTGGCCCCGAGCTGCCTCTCCTCTCAGCCTCCAGGAGCCAGGATGCAGCTGTCATAGCAGGGAAGTGGCAGTGGGTGCTGGCGAGACTGGTGCTGTCTCACTCACCTGATTGGCAGACTTCCCAGCCTCGTCTGCCCATGGCCCCAGGGAGGCCACCAAGGCATGGTCCAGGGTGGGTCAGGTTGTCACTGAAGCCTCAAGTTAGGGTAGAAAAGAGATGGGGGCATTGGTGGCCAGGAGGAGGTGGCCTCCACGGAGAATCTAGGAGCACACGCCAAGTCAGACCTCAGCTCTTGATCCTGTGCAGAGGACCACAGTTCCCAAGCCTGGGTGGGTCAGAGAAAGGAGTGTTCCGTCACCCTCAGCTGGACACCTCGCAGCTTACCTTCTTCCCCCACAGCTGACCCAGCCCACATCTACAGGACGCATGCCTGGGTCCTCAGCAGGGTTTTTCTGCCGCGTCAGGAAGTTGTGTCTGGCCCCAGGGTCTGGGGAGCCCTGGGCTAAATGTCTTCTGCCCATCCTAGGTCTCTGAGGTTTTACCTCTGTGACCTCTGCTTTTCCAGGATTCTAATCAGTACCAGCTTGGCAAGACCAAGATCTTCTTCCGGGCAGGGCAGGTGGCTTACTTGGAGAAGCTGAGGCTGGACAAGCTGAGGCAGGGCTGCGTGGTCATCCAGACACGCGTGCGCGGCTGGCTGCAGAGGAGGAAGTTCCTCCGCACGCGACACGCGGCTGTCATCATCCAGCGCTACTTCCGGGGCCAGCAGACTGTGAGGTGTGTGCCGGAAGGACAGCAGTGCAGAGGGGCCCGTGCCCGCCCTGAGGCCCCGGGAATGCCAGGGCTGGTGGGGCACTAAGGGATCCAGGCGAAGGTGCTGAAAACTGACTACCTGTCATCTGCAGTGGGCCCATGGCAGGGAGGCAACCACGCCAGCCCCCGGGATGGGAGGCCACAACCTGGCGCCAGGTCACCTCACCCTGGGGGTCCTAGGAATCCTAGGACCCTGTGAACTCTTGCAAGGCTGCAGTCGTCAGGATGATCATGGCTTTGCTGTTCCTCTTGGAGATCACATCTCCTGCTGCTCCCCGAGGGCCTGGGGCCCTTCCCGACGGCAGAGTGCTTCAGCAACAGGGAAGGCAGCTTCCCATCACTACCATAGATCCCAGCATGGTTGCCCCATAAAGGCGGAGCTTATTGTGGGCCACGGCTCTAGAGATCAGCTCTGTGACAGGTTGGCACTGTCACTCAGGCCCAGGCAATGCAACTCATGACAGCGGAGGGCCAGGAAACCTAGAGAGGACAAGCCCAGCTCCTGTGTCCCCTGTGAAGGGACCCCAGGCCCTAGAGACCTCCCAACAGCACCCTGAGCAGGGACTGACAGGAGCCCATGTGGAGGCCAGCACTCCCATGGGGCAAGAGCCATGAGCAGGGTCCAGGCCCAGCATGGCCCAGCAGTTGCCCTGGGTGTGCCCTAGGATGGGTCGGGAACGTGCATCTCCATCTGTTTCTCTAGCCTCACTGACCAGTGAGTCAGTGTTCTCAGTGTAGCCTGTGTCCTGGTGACCAGAGCAGTTCCTTCTCTGAACAGAGCAGGCCGGGGCCTCTGTGACCCACCATCCCCTCTGATCCCCACTTCCGACCAGCACGGCATTCTCCCAGCCTTGTCCCGGCAGAGCCGCCTGGCCTCCCTCTGTTCACAGGCAGATGTAGTTGGTAGTTGGCCTCCCTCTCTCTTGGGCCATCTGTCTTCCTGTGGTGTTATAAATTCTTCAGGACAGAACTTGGTGCTCCCTCCCAGGCCCTTAGCTAGAGACCCACAATCTTGCTGTAAAGCGCCAGGGGGTGATCACGTGAGACCTGGGCACTTGTGGCTCTGTGTCAGTGGGATGCAGCTGCGTCCATCTGCTTGCCAGTCCTCTGGCCAGAGACCCGAGGCTGCGTGTTGAAAAGATGTTTACTCGGCTGGCCGATTTAGAGGCTGAGAGTTCAAGGTGGGGCAGCCCCATCGGTCTGGCTGCTGGAGGGGCCCTGATGGTCAGCTTAGCAGAGGAGTGGGAGGGCCAGGCTGTGAGGGTGGCCTTGCTGGTGGAGCCTCTCAGCCCCTTCTCCCATCCCTGGCACTCCTGGCCCCCAGTGCTGTCCCTGGGCCACCTCAAGAAGGTTCCTGCCCTTCAGCATCAGCACCCTGAGGCCCAGGCTTCCTGCATCAAGCCGTTAAGACCCGTGGCGGCTCCCTCAGGGACCTGTGAGCTGGTACTGTGTCCCAAGGGACCAGACCATAACTGAGCCTGCAGCTCTGGCTCTTGGCCTAAGCTTGCCGACTCTCGGCTTCTGGCGCTATCTCTTAAATGAATGAATGAGTGACTGAGCAGGTGCAGTCCCAGTACTCAGCCTCCATGACGTGGTCCGTGGCAACACACCTGTGGAGAGCAACAGTTGCCCTAGACAACAATATGTGTGACATTGCCTGGGTTCCATGGTGGCCAGAATGAGCCTGGCCTGGGCCTTGAGCTGCCCAGACACTGCAGAGGACAGGGATACCAGGAGGTGACATGGGTGTGGCCCAGGCTCACTCTGCACTCTGGTCTCCCAGGAAAGCTGTCACTGCACAGGCCTTGAAGGAGACCTGGGCGGCCATCGTCCTCCAGCGGCACTGCCGAGGGTACCTGGTCCGAAACCTGTACCAGCTGGTCCGCGTGGCTACCATCACCATCCAGGCCCACGCTCGCGGCTTCCTGGCCAGGAGGAGGTACCGGAAGGTATGGCCAAGGGCTGGGCTGGAGCCGGAGTCGGAGTGGACATCGGCACACCAGGTCTGCATGGGAGGACCTGTCGGGGCTCTGGCCAGTGGCACCAGGAATCCTCATGGTGGCGCCCGTGTGGCCCAGTGGTGCAGTCCAGTGTCATTTCACAGATGCTGGAGGAGCACAAGGCCGTGATCCTTCAGAAGTACGCGCGCGCCTGGCTGGCCAGGCGCAGGTTCCAGAGCATCCGCCGACTCGTGCTGCACATCCAGCTGGCCTACAGGGTGCAGCATCTGCAGAAGAAGCTGGAGGACCAGGTGGGCAGCCCTAGCCTGTCGTCCGTGTCGCTTTCTGATAGGGCTGTTGTACTGAACCAGATCCTCAGCTTTGCTCTGCAGGTTCTTGCCTGTGTCCAGAGCTTCGAACAGCTGATACAGACAACCTTAGCTGGAAAACAAGCATGCTGCAAGGGTTTCCATAGATGGTTGTATAGGTTGTTCACTGCACAAAGGGGGACGTGGCGCCACTTGCCAGGCCAGTGCCCATAGGAAGCTCCTGGATGCAGAGCGCGTGTCCCTAGTGCTCAGAGACTCTCAGAGACAGGGTCGGCTTGCCCAAGAGGGTTAGGGTGCCCCCACCAGTGAGGAGAAGCCTGCCTGCCACCTGATGGAAGCTGTGCCTGCCACCACCCAGGCCTGGCCCTGTGGTGCCCAGGGCCCCCACAACTGACCCTGCGTCCCCCCAAAGCTGCGGCCTCTGAGCGGGGAGCCACAAACAGTGAGGCCTGAGTCCGTGGCCTTGTCCCATGGCAGGACACACAGGCAAGGTCTGTAGGTAGCGATGTCCTGTCCTGCAGCCCTGGGCCCAGACTCAGGAGTGGGTGTGGCTGGCTCCTCTGAGTCCCTCCAGCTTGCAGCTGTCCCCTCTGCACCCTACACAGTAGTGTCCCTTTCTGGCCTCTCTCCCTGGCTGCCCCTCATGGCCTTTGTCAGCCAAAGCTCTACCTCAAATGCTGAGATGTGCAAGGCCCAGCATGAGGCCTCTTCAGGTGGTTCAGAGGGGACACTGGGCAGCCTGTGGCACTGGCCTTGTCCTGGGCCAGGAGTAGGCAGACCCCATATTACCAGCCTGAGCCCCGACACAGAGAAGTCCTGCCGCATGTCCACGGGGCGACACGTGACTGTGAACAGCGCCCTTCTCAAGAGGACCTCTGACCCGGGCCCTCTCTCCTGCAGAACAGGGAGAACCATGGCCTGGTGGAGAAGCTGACCAGCCTGGCTGCCCTGTGGGCCAGTGACACTGAGAAGCTTCAGAAGCTGGAACTGGAGCTGGAGAGGGCGGCTTCCCAGCAGCGCAGCTTCGAGGAGAAGGACAGGAGATACAGGGACGGCGTGGAGCAGGTGCAGGCGTGGGTGGGAGCGCCACGTGCAGGGGCTCGGGGAGGGGCTCGTGTGCAGAGGTGAAGCACCGCTGTCTCCGTGAACATCTGCAAAGTGACTGCGAGCCTGGAGGTCACCTCGAGGCTGTGCCCCTCGTCAGGGCAGCTCTGAGCCCACTCAAACCTACACCTGGGAAGCACCTTCCCCAACACTGGCATGAAGCTGGGGCTGATCTCACCCGCATGGTATAGGGAAGAGCAACAGACCCAAAAAACCAGAGTTCCAGAGGCAGACCCCAGCCTGGCTGCTGTCCAGCGGGGCAGCCTCAGCCGTATCTCTCCCCTCTCTGGGTTTTGGGTCCCTTGAATGTGAAACGGGAGCAGCACATAGCAATGGATGTCACTGTCCCGAGGGCACGCTGGCCAGATGAAACCTGGTGGTGGCCACGTGCTGCCTAGAGGTGGCCTTAGTCATCTCCCTTTCCTGCACCCTCCAGGGTCTGCAGGGTCACAGCTGGGGGACAGGAGTCCCGGAGGTGTCCCTCCTGCCCCTGTGACCTGGTGCCAGGGGCGCCCACCCCACTGCTGGTCTTGGCCCCCATGCTGAGGGGTCTCCAGCAGGCACATGAGCAGAAGTGGAGCAGCAGGGGTCCTGAGTGTCCGCACCCCACTCACACACGCCAGTTGCTGAGTCCCAGTTAGTAGCGGACCACCCAGGGGGTCAAGGGGCATCTGGTTCCCCCTGGGAGCTCCGTTTCCTGGAGCCAGCAAGGGCCAAGGGTCTGCTTTGATGTCACCTCGGACTCCCATACGTGGGACTGAGGGGAAAAGAGGTAGCTCAGGAGCATATAGCTTTTGACCTAGAAACTTGGCAGACTTGAAGCGGAGTTCTCAAAGGAAGGTGTTCTGCTTTACCCTTCCCCTTGCTAGAAATTGGCTGCACTGCGGGCGCGTAATTCAGAACTGGAAGTCCAGAAAGAACAGATACAGCTGAAGCTTCAGGAGAAAACACGGGAGCTGGAAGGTAACAGTCAAGGAGGCCGTGGCTCCACCTTGCATAGAGAGGACCAGGAGCGGTGGTACAGGGGCCCACCCAGGGCAAGCATGGTGCTGCTGAGAGTGTGCGCAGCCCAGGCATTGTCGGGGTGAGAGGTTGGGGTCTCCCTGAGGGTCAGGCGAGGCCTCAGAGCAGCCACCCTCAGCCCAGGAAATGTCAGACAGAGCCGGGTCTGGGGGAGACCTTGGACCCACCAGGGAAGGGCTCAGCCTACCTGTCTCTCTCTCTCTCTCTCTCTCTCTCTCTCTCTCTCTCTCTCTCTCTGTCTCTCTCTCTGTCTCTCTCTCTGTCTCTCTCTCTCTCTGTCTCCCTCCCTCCCTCCCTCCCTCCCTGTCTATTAGTTTTTGTTTTCTGGTATCAAGAATCAAGCTTGGGACCTTGCACTGGCCAGGCGGGTGCTGTGCCGCTGAGCTATCTCCCTGGCTGCCCGTTTCTTCATAATCTGCTCCCCTCCTGGGCAGTGGCCCTGCTGTTTTCTAGCTTCTTTAAGCAGAGTCTCCCAGCGCTTAAGTTCAGGAAAACTCCCTAAACTGACTTGCTTCTGTGCGTAACTACCCTCCTCCCTAAGAGGCACCGAGCGCCCACACTGAGTCTTGACCTGCGTGTCCTGGGGGCCACAGGCCAGCACCTGCAGCCTGCCCTGTGACCAGGCACGGGTGGTGTTGAGCACTGACCTTGCTTGTGATTCTGGAAGTATCTGAGAGAAACAGGTCACACCCAAGCAGCTCCCCCAGCCAGGAGCAAATGGCCGAATTGCCGAACCCCAGACGTGGAGCTGGTTCTCCTGGAGACCTGGAAATTGGCCTCGAAGTCAAAGCCTCAGCTCCCCCATAGCTGCTGTGCAACTCGTGACACTTGATGCAGGGGCATTTGACACTGTTAGACCGCGGAGCCACCCACTGGCTTTTCTCTCCTTTAAACCGAGTTATTTGGAGACTCCTCACTGGGCTTCCCTCTGGGGTGTCAGCTGGCTGCAAGTGGGACATCACCTCCATGGGCCGCGTGGGCCTGGGGCTTCGAGGCTGCCATGGCCTCAGCCCTCCCTCCTTGCGCGACGCTTGAGACTCCTGCTCTCTGCACTTACACCTTGAGGGCAGACAGATGCTCTGCTGTCCGCGGTTCTCATGGATGGCTGGCTCTCAGCTGCAGTGCCTTCATCACCCTTCCCTCTTGGGGACACGAGGCAGGTCTGGAGGGACGTTTGTTGTCACAGATCGGGAAGAGGAGCTCCTGGCTCCCCGGGTGTGGGGTGGAAGCCAGGGCCGCTGCTCAGAGTCCAGCGACACGAGACAGCTCCTCTCAATGCCAGTGTGCACACCGGGGCACCCCCGGCGCTGAGCCTCTGTCCCTGACTGACCTCCCCACAAGGGTTCTATTTCCGAGAGCATTTATTGTCCTGAGTGACAGACAAGCGTCAGAACAGTGAACCACTGTAAAGGCAACAGCTTACCCATAGATTCCAACATGACACGCCTGTACTTCTCTGAAGCTGTCTACGTTTGCAGCTCATGAGAAGTGCCATTCTGACCTGAAACCTGAGTGACAACGCACACCGCGTGACTGCTTACGGCCACGCTTCCAAGTGTGGCATGAGATCTTCGGGCATCAGTGTGGCAGCCGGGTGGCAAAGAAATGTTCATATGTCTCTTTGCACAGAAAAAATGGACAACCTCACCAAGCAGCTCCTGGAGGACGTGCAGAGGGAGGAGCGACAGAGAGCGTAAGGGGCCATGTGCCCGCGCGTGCTGCCCCGCTCTCTGCCACACTGAGGCTCTTCTCGCTTGTGAGGGTGCAGCGCTTGTGGAGCTGGGCTGTGTCTGCCAGCAGGAGGGTGACGCCGAGGGTCGTGCCCCCACCTCGCGTTCCGTGGGCTTCCGGCCCCTGGACTTAGCATCTGCAGTCTCTTTCCTTTTCTTTCTTTCTTTTTTAATTTTATGTATTTTGGTGCAGGGTCTCACTACACAGCTTGGACTTGTAGTGACTATCCTGTTTCAGCCTCCCCAGCGCTGAGATTACAGGCATGAGCCACCATGCCCAGTGTTGTGGCTGGCTCAGTGTGCCTGGGGCAGGCCAGTGTGGCATGGGGTGCCAGGGGTCGAACCCGGGTCCCTGCACTTGCTGGGCAGGTGCTTAGACCACTGAGCTATCTTCCCAGCCCAGCACCCTGCAGTTTCTGAAAGGCCAGAACAAGCCCCACCAGAGGCTGGAGTTTGGGTTTCACTTAGGTAAAATGCTTAGGGCTGGAAGCGTTTCAGGGTTTGAAGATTTTTTTTTTTTAACATTTGTAGTCTTTGCTGCAACTTCACCAGCTGAGGAGCCCTAATCCCAAACTCCAGAAGTGTTCCCTATCTGAAATGTTTTGATCAACTTGTTGGATTTCAGTGCATTTCAGACACCGTATTTTCCAGGCTAGGATACTCAGCCTGTGCTAATTTGTTCAGGATCAAACTGAGACTGGCAGAGAAAGGAACCCTGCGGGCGGGGGCGAGAATAAACAGCTCGTGCCTTGTGGGCCTCAGGGACCCGAGGACACAGTACCTTCTGAGAGCCTCCTGTCCTCTGGGGACATGGCACCTCCCGACAGCCTCCCGTCCCCAGGCTACACTCCTGGGGCTGGAGGGGCAGAGGTGGCCATGGCCTTGGGGGGCAGGTGCTGTTACGTAGCTCCTGATGAGCTTGCCTCCCGCTTGGGGTGTAGGGGCCTCCCCTTGTTATCTGCAAATGTGCGTTGTTCTAATTCCAAGCCTCTGGAGTGTATTGTACATTAATTCTTTTCTCCTTTGCTGCCTAGACTTCTAGAGAAAAGTTTTGAGCTGAAAGCCCAGGACTATGAGAAGCAGCTGCAGTCCCTGCGAGAGGAAACCCAGGCTCTGCAGAAGGAGAAGGCGCAGCTGAGGCAGGAGCTGGAGGAGGCGCGTGTGGCTGGGGACAGCCTGCAGGGGGAGGTGGTTCGGCTGAGCCAGCAGGCGAAGGTACTACCGCAATAATATCATCCCCTAGTTATTGGGCCCGTCAGGCCGCAATCTCCCAAAGGAGGGGACAGTGAAGGCCTAAATAAATGGGACCAATGAAATGATTTCAGGGCTCCAGAGGATCCAAACCCTCTCACAGAATTTGTAGTTCTCTGGGTCCAGACCAAGAGCTTCTCTAGGCAGCCCACATTTATTATGCTATCAAACAAAGCAGGGAGACACTGAAGATGCAGGAATCTGTAGGGACTTGGGGGCCTTCAGCAGGTTCTCCAGGCAATACATTCTGTTCACGTAGAAGAACTGGGCCACCTCCAGGAAGGCCGTCACCCAGGACTGGGAAGCCTGCAGCTGTGGTCTCCTTTTAGCTAACTGGGGTTGGAGCCACACGTCCTCAGCTGTGGCCTTGTCCTCTGTGGTGTCCCAACTTCACCCGCCATTACAGGCCTCAGCGGAGACGTGACGCACAGAGCTTCACTTGCTGAGTCCGCTGCCCATCTCCAGACAAGGGGCCTAAGCCTCGGGCAGACACGGAAGCATGAGAAGCCAGCGGGTTCGTGTCAAGTCCTGCCAGAGCCGCCTCACAGTGGTCTCCATCAGTACTGACCTGCAGGGGTCAGCAGCCCAGCCCCACAGGATAGGGGTGGGCAGCGGGCGGCCTCTGTGGAGAGGCTGAGGCCGACGGGAGCCTGAGTCTTTCCGGTGGCCACATCAGAGCCCGGAGTGAGGCACCAGGATGTGTCACTTGCTGCACTTGAATGCCTGCATCTTGGGCTCGAACTCTAAGGTGACACATAAAGTCATCTGGTTTTCAAAGAAAGCAACAAGATGTTATTTATTTATTTATTTATTTATTTATTTATTTATTTGGTACAGGGTCTCACTACTCAGCCTCCCAGCACTGGGATTACAGGCATGCACCACCATACCCAGTTTCAGGGCCAGCATGCCTGGTTCAAGGGCATGCATGGCATGTGGTACCAGGGATCAAATCCAGGTCCTTGCACTTGCCAGGCAGGCGCTTAGACCACCGAGCAATCTTCCCAGCCCATAACCAGTTCTTAATTGAGTGGCTTATGTTACCATCAGGCTAAAAAACGTAAATACAAGTATAGGACTCGGGACATTTACTGAAATGTTCCAGAAGGGAGCAGGATGGACGGGACAATCTGGGTCCTCCAGGAACTTGGCACATGGCCCTGGATGTGCCACTGAACCTCCCACCCAGCGGAGCGGGAGGCTGCGCTGCCTGGGACAGCCCCAGACACGTGCCTCCAAACGTGACCGCTGCCCCTCCTCCCCGGCTCGGTCCCGCAGACCATCTCCGAGTTCGAGAAGGAGATCGAGCTGCTGCAGATGCAGAAGATAGACGTGGAGAAGCTGGTGCAGCAACAGAAACGGGAAATGAGAGGTGACAGGACAGGGTGGCGCTGCCCCAGGGCCAACTGGACGCATCAGAGTGTGCTGCTGTGCGGAGCACCTGTGCGCTGGCAGGGGGAGTCAGGTGGCTGGTGGGTAGTTAGGTGGGAGCTGGGAGCATGGCCAGCACCAACAGCTGCGAGTTCCTGGCTGGAGACAGTGACACCAGAAACTCCAGGCCTGGCGTCTCAGGAGGAGAAGTCACACACAGGTGATACCGAGACAGCCCTGCCTTTCCTTCCAGAAAAGATGTCCAAGGTCACCAGACAGCTCCTCGAGAGCTACGACATCGAAGATGTGAGGAGCAGGTGATCATTTTTGTGTCATCAGACACCGAAAAGCTTGCTGAAGCAGCAGCGAGATGAGTCCTTCTTTCCCTGCTGTCTTCCAGGCTGTCGACAGAGGACCTGGAGCACCTGAATGAGGACGGGGAGCTCTGGTTTGCTTACGAGGGGCTCAAGAAAGCCACGAGGTAAGAAATCCCCTGTTGGGGACCATTTCACTTCTCAGAGATAATGGACTAGTAGAAAGTGAAAAGTCAGTGTCATGGATTTGACAACCAATTAAATTCCTACGGTCGCATGACCTAATAACTGCTAGCAGTACTTTTGTGCCACTTATTACTTAGGGTTTTCTCTGGTGGTGCTTGAACCCAGAGCCTTTGCACTGAGCTAAATCCCTACCCTTTAAACATTTTTTGACACAGGGACTCCTTAGGTCGCTAAGTTGCCCAGGCCGGGCATGAGCTCGTGCTTCTCCCGCCTGGGCCTCAGGGCTAGGGTGACAAGGTGGCCGACATGCCCGACAGGAACGATGCCGTCACAGGATGATGAGCTGCCTAATAATAAAACTCATTCGTAACCTGCAGAGTGGAAACCGATTCCATGATGACTCAGCCACTGCTTGCTGCAGGTGCCTGGTACATTTAAAGAGTCTGCAGCGTTTGTCCAAATTATAAACTTCATTGGTGTTTCTGCTTTTTGATTTTTTTTTTTTCTTTTGTGCCAGGAATTGAACTCACAACCTCTTACTTGCCAGGCACGGTGCTGTGCTGCTGAGCTATATCCCCAGCCCCTAAATTTACCGTTTACAGCAGCTTGGGGCTCCTAGCAAGCCTGAGCTACAGGAGGACGCAGAGTTCTCTTGTATCCCTCACCTCCCCCAGGCCTACCCTGCACCAGGGCTGGACACTGACTTGTCGCTGCCGCCTGCACATGAGGGTTGGTCGCCAGGGCTGTACTTCTGGGGGCTTGGGCATTTGGATACTGATACTGTGTCCCCAGTCACACACAGTGCAGATCTCAAACTATAAGGAGAGAAGCAACAAGCCGAGTGAGCTGTAGTCCAAGGTTTTTATCGCTAAGTACAGACTGGCTGCACACAGCACTCTGCAAACTGCTGGGGCATCCAGTAGCTGGGCCTGGGCCTGTGGCCGGTGGCTGCGTCACACGCTGGCTCCCTACCCCGGGATGGGGGCTGCACAGCTCATGGCTTGGCCTCCTACACAGAGTCCTGGAGAGCCACTTCCAGTCCCAGAAGGACAGCTACGAGAAGGACATCGAGGCTCTGAACTCCAAAGTGGCGCACCTCAGCCGGGAACTCGGCCGCCTGCAGAGGTTGCTCCGGGAGGAGAGCCACGTGCATGACAGTGTCCGGCTGGAGGTCACCAGGCTGACATCGGAGAACATGGTGGGCAGCGTGGGCCGGCGAGCTACAGGGCCTGGGTGGGGCTGGCTCGGTTCCTAGGTGGCGAAAGACTGGATTTAAATCACCTTGTTAGTGGCACTGGGATCAGAACCCAGCTCCTTCTTTCTTTCATCCCCAGCCCTGTTTCCTTTACCCTAGAGATAGGGTGTGAGTCACTAGGTGGTCCAGGCTGGGCTCAAACTTGCCAAACGTTAAGGCACAGCGTGGCTCTGGAGAAGCACAGGTTTTCAGACCTGTCCTGCTCACGCTCCAAGCTGCCCCCGCCAGGATGCACTCCCCTGGGTCAGCACACAGCGGTTCTCGCCCGAGTGGGTGCAGGTGATGGGTGTTGAGGAAATGCACAGATCCGGAGGGAGACGGGGCGGAATACACCAGGCATGCCCAACCTGGCCCACAGAGCAGCACCTGGCTGCGGTCAGAGTGGGTCCTTCTCTCCCCAAGCGACTGGGACACTGCTGCTGAGGGGCATGCTGGGATTTCTCGAGACAGCTGCAGAGGTCTTGAGGTCAGAAAAGCAACGAGAAGGAAAGAGCCTCAGTGAGACCCGACACAGCTCTCTTCCTGCGGGTGTGACAAAGGACAGCCAGGTTGCCCCAGCTGGTGGCACACACAGAGGAAAGTATCTGCTGCACTAACGTTGGTCGTTCTTCTCTAAAGATGATCCCAGACTTTAAACAGAAAATTTCAGAGCTGGAGAAACAAAAGCAAGATCTCGAAATCCGCTTGCAGGAGCAAACAGAGAAGAAAGGTAACGGAGCCCAGGCTGCCTCCCTAGGCAGCAGCCCAGGAGACAGCCCCTGCTGGAGAGCCTGGGCCAGCTGTCCTGGGTGAAAGGCCAGTGGAACGTGAGGTGGAGGGCTGCTGTGGGGCAGCTGTGGGACCCACTGCTGCCCCACAGCAGCCCCACAGCAGCATCCCGACCCCACTGCTCACTGCAGGGAAGCCAGAACTGTGGAACCTGCTCGGGCGTCAGGAGGAGGAAGGGGTGCAGAGAGGGTGAGTGTGCCCGTGGAGGTCCCCCAGGGCCCACCTTAGGATGGCAGCACCTGGTCACACTGATAGGGACATCCCCTGTGCTTTCCACAGGGCCCTGGATGCCCAGAGTGAAAGAGATGCCCAACTGGAAAAGAAGCTGAGAGATCGGCAGGAGGCCGGGGTGCGGCTGAAGAAATCATCCGAAACTGAAGGGGAGGCGTCCCAGCGCCCTTTGGAAAACAGGGTGAGCGTTTGCAACCTTGTCCCTGAGAGGCTGTCCAAGTGCCAGTGTTGCCACTAGGGAGATGTGGCCCCCAGGGCACACGGTTGTGGCTGCGGAGCAAAAGTCCTTCCAGCAGAATGGTCTTTCCTCCTCTCAAAAAGACCGGTGAACCAGGCAGGGAGGGTGCATGTCCCTCATCCAGCACTTGGGAAGCTGAGGCAGGAGGATCCCCTCAAATTTGAAGGTCAGCCTGGGCTACATAGTGAGGTCAAGACAGGCAGGTGCTCATGTGTCCCTGAGATACAGGCACCGACCGTGCCATGCTGTGGCCGAAAGCCAGATGCCAAATGCCCCGCCTTGAATGGTCCCCGTGTATGAGATGCCGAGAACAGGCAGCACACGGACAGGAAGTAAGTTAGTGACTACAGGGGCTAGGAAGGGACTGGGGGACAGCTGAAGGTGACAGCGTAGGTTTCTGGGGCTATCAGTGGTGGTGGCACAGCTCTGGCTCCACTGAAGCCCACTAAGGTGTGCACTGCACAAGCGGGTCGCGTGCCAAGCGGATCATGGCTCAGTAAAGCTGTTAGGAAAAAGCAGGTGAAGACGCTTCTGTGCTAATATCCTTGTTCTGTCGTCTGAAGGACCTCAAAGAAGAGTTAGAGATGAAGGACAGAGAGATCAGAAAGCTGCAAGACCAAGTGAAGACCTTAACCAAGATCATTGAAAAAGGTGGGGAAATGAGCTTCATTTCTTAGTCTTTTGAGCTTTTGGCCAAGGCTGATGTGCGCCCAAGTGCACGTCCAAGGCCTGGAGACCCGCAGGGGTGATTCTCAGGGCTGGGACTGGCCGGGCTGGGACAAGATCTGCTGAGCCGGGGAGAGCTCGCTGCCCTCGTGTGCACCAGCCCAGGCAGGCTCTGGCCTCCAAGGGTCGCCCTCTGAGGATGCTTCTCCTCTGTGAGTGTCCCCTTCCCAACACGTTCTGCTTCTTACTCTTTGTTGGTGGTGTTTGTGGCATCTAATGGTCACACTCACGTGGAGCATGGGGTGCCTACCACAGCATGATGGATTTGATCCCCTTTCCGTCCCTCCCTGCCCTCCCTCTTTTGGTCCCCTTCCCATTCACAAACATCTGTCTCTAAGCTGGGCGTGTGGTGCACCCTTGTAATCCCAGCACTTGGGAGGCTGAGGCAGGAGGATCGTTGAGAGTTTGAAACCAGCCTGGGCTACAAAGTGAGCTCAAGGCCAATCTGAACTGCACAGAAAAACCCTATCTCAAAAAGATACAAAACTAATCTATCTCCATTTCCTGTTATTCACCTTTTATTTTGCTCTTTAATTTATTTATATTTTGAGTTTCTCTTATAAGAGAAACCATGCGATAGTTAAGCTTTGACACTACGGCCTAAGGCGCACCCATTTTCCTACAGATGACTCAAGTTCGCCCTTACGGCAGAGTAGAACTCCACTGTGGGTATACCTTGCCTTGCACACCCATCTGCTGGCAGGCATACAGGCCATTTCCAAGAGTTAGGCATTTGAATTGTGTTCCCAAGAACATGGGCCTGCGCGTGTCCTGTAACGTGATGTCTTTAAGTCTTTCAGAAAGATTCCTAGAAGGAGAGTACCAGGGTCAGATGGAATTTGTGTTCATTTTCTGAGAAATCTCCGTGCTGAGTTCCACAGCGCTGTGCTAGTTCATACTCCCCCGAGCCACGCGGACCAGCTCCCTGCCCCGGTCTCACCAGCACTTACTGGCGCTTGCTTTCTTGATGATGGAAGTATCAGTGTTGCTCTAATTTGCGTTTCTCTCGGAGCTGGAGATGTTGAACATCTTTTCATGCATTTATTGGCCATTTGTACTTCTTCTGAGAAGTATCTTCATTTCAGCTGCCAGTTTTTGATTGGATCTTTTATTTATTGGGGCCCTTTATATATTCCAGTGGCCTTGTTTTTGGTCTTTTTTTATTTTACTGTATTTTTGTTGTTGTCGTTGAATTGATTTTTAGGGGAGGTTTATTTTTTGTTTTTGGTGCGGAGGACCAAACCCAGGTCTTCCAGCTTGCTAGGCAAGTGTTCTACTGCTGAGCCAAACCCCTAGCCCCCTTTGTGTATTCTAGACGTTGGTCCTCTGTCTGAGAAAGACCTGGCAAAAAATGTTTTCCTGCTGTGTAGGTTGTCTTTTGGCTCTATGGGCTGTTTTCTTTGCTGCATGGCTTTTTTAATCTGATATGTTCCCATTTGTTGATTTTTTTTTAGGCCAGGGTCTTGCTGTATAGTTTAGGCTGCCTCTGAACTAACTGTATAGCCCAGGCTGGCCTTGATCTTGCAGCAATCCTCCTGCCTCAGCCTCCTGAGCGCTGGGATTACAGGCGTGTGCCACCAGGCTCAGCAAAGCATTTGTTCATTCTTGATGTTATTCTTATGCGGGGGGAGGGGGGTGCAGGGAGAGGTCTGTTCAAAAAGCCCTGGCCTATGCCTGTGTTCTCTAGAGTTTTGCCTATGTTATCTTCCAACAAATCAAGTGTTTTTGTTTTAGATCTTTCATGCATTTTTATTTTAGTTTAATAATCTGTCCAGAACATCTCTTCTGATGTTCTCCTTGATTTTCTTTTTCAGAGCACTATAGTTTTCACTGTAGAGATCTTTCCTTCCTTGGTTAGGTTAATTACTAAGTGTTTAATTTTTCTTAATGTTATTGTGAATGATGCTGGTTTCCCAGCTGCTTTCCCATTAAGCTCATCACTGGCGTGCAGAAACACCACACGGTTTTCTGTGCTCACTCTGTGCTCTCCTACTGAGCTGGGGAATCCTACAAGGGTTCTGGTGGCATCTCTGGCATCCTGTGTAGAGGCTCACGTCATCCGCAGGCAGTGAGTGCTTGACCTAGTCCCTTCCTATGTCACCCTTTTACTTCTTTAACCCACCGGACGGACCTGGCCAATGTTTTGAGTACGGTGTCGAGCAGGAGTGGTGACGGTGGCACCCTTGCATTGCTGCTTTTTTCTTTTTGGCGGAACCGGGGATTGAACTCAGGCCCTTGTCTTTGCCAGGCAAGCACTTACTCCACTGAGCCGTCTCCCCAGCCCCCTTGCTTCTGATTTTAGGAGGGACGCGTTCAGCTTTTCCTCAGTTAATATAATGTTGACATAAGGTTTGTCATAGGTGGCTTTTATCAGATGGAGTTAGAGTCTTTCTATACCTATTTTCTTTAGGGTTTTTCAAAAATTCTTCTATTATTATTTTAAAGAAAATAAACAATGAAAACAATACAAAATTTCAAAACAAGGTAAGAAATGAACAAAGGTGATTATACCGCATCTTGTTACCTTCACAGTAATTGCTCAGATTACCAGATACAGGTGTGCAAAATGGGTCAGATGTGACAAGCGCTAATTGTTCCTTTCAGTGAACTCATCGCAATTAGTAGCGCCGTTATCCGAGCTCTCTGGTGCTTGTTTGTTCGTTTTCACCTTCCTTCTTTTCTCCTTTTCCCCATCCCCGCTCCTCTTTCCTTTGGAGCAGTTTCCTTCCCTTTCCCAATATCTATTGTACCTTTCAGTTCCCATTTACTCCTGTTTCTTATACTAGGGAAACAATACAGTGTTTACACATGCGAATCTGACTTATTTCACGTATGAGTGTGGCCTCTAGTTGCACCCATTTACCTATAAAAGCCTCGACTTTATCTTTCTTTATAGCTGAGGAATACTCCATTGTGTAAAAACACCACTTTTTTTTTTTTTTTTTTTTTTTTTTTTTTTTTAGCGATTCCTCAGGAGATGGGCAGCTGGGTTGTTTCCAGGATTTAGCTCTGACAAACTGTGCTGCTCTACACTTGGGTGCACCTACATCTCTGTGGTGTGATGTTTTCCATTCTTCTGGAAACATACCCCAAAGGGGAACAGCTGTGCCAAACGGATTTCTAATCTTACTTTTTTGAGGAATCTCCACACTGATTTCCACAGTGGTTGTACCAGCCTACGCTCCCACCAACAGTGGAGAAGAGTTCCTTTTTTCAAACCACAACCCCACTAGCATTTGCTAATGCTTGATTTTTTTTTTTTTTTATGCTATTCTTTCCAGGGTGAAATAGAATCTCGGTGTTGTTTTAATTTGCATTTCTTTTAATATTTCTTTATTTGTTTATTTATTTGGTATAGAGTCCTGCTATACAGTTCTAACTCATAGTGATCCTCCTGTCTCAGCCTCCCCAGCACTGGGATTACAGGCATGTACCACCACTCCCAGTTTCAGGGTTGGCGGAGCAAACCCGGGGTTCTGGGACCAGCACACCATGCTGTACCAGTAGAATTCGGGACCTTGTGCTTTCCAGGCAGGCGCCCAGACCACTGTGCTGTCTCCCCAGCCCTAATTAGCATTTCTTGAGTGACTAATAATGTTAAACATTTTTTGTATATTTATTTGTTATTTGCATTTCTTTTTGTGTGTTACTTGTATTTCTTTAGCCGAGAAGTGTATATTTATCTCAAATACCTGTTTTTTGATTATGTCTTTGAACTTTAGGGGCCTGATTTTTTTCAATTCTTCATACATTCTAAACAGAAGTCCTTTGTCTGAGGGACAGTTTATTAAAATATTTTCCCAATTTGTGGGTTTTCTTTTCACTCTGTGATTTGTTTCAATGTGCAAAATCTTTTTAATAAAATGAGATTCCAGTTGCTGAGTCTTTGAAGCATTTCCCTTGCAGTTTGGTTTTTGCTCATGAACTCTCTGCCTATCTTCAGGGTTTCTGGGGGCTTGCCAGTTAGCTCAGTTGTCTGAAGTGCTGTTTGGGCAAGCACAGTCAGTCACAGGGAACCACAGTTCAGTCCCCAGCTCCATAAGCCACACCACACCCGCCCGTAAGGCAGCCTGAAATAGCCAAAAAAAAAAAAAAATCCTTCAAGATTTTTATCTGAATCGATATTGGATTTTGTCAAAGGTTTTTTCTGAACCTACTGAGATGATAATGTGATTTTTTTTTTTTTTTTTTTTTTTTTTTGAACTGGGGATTGAACTCAGATCCTTGTGTTTGCCAGTCAAGCACTCATCCTACTGAGCCATCTCCCCGGCCCCCAATAATGTGATTTTTATCCTTGCTTCTGCTGATGTGGTGAATTACATTTATGGAGTTGCGTATGTGAAGCATCCTGGCATCCCTGGGATGAAACCTACTTGGTTTGATGTATGATCTTTTTGATGAGCCGGTGCATTCTGTTTGTCAGTATCATGCTGAGGATTTTCTGTCTGTGTTCCTTCAAGACACTGGCCCATTGGTCTCCTTGCTCATTGGCTTTTTGTCTGGTTTTAGAATCAGAATATTCGCACCAGGAATGACTCTGGGAGTATTGTTTCCCTTTCCATTTCATTTGAAGGCTTTGAGGCATATTGCTGTTAGATCTTGCCTGGAGTCTGTAGAATTCAGTAAATTTACTGGGTCCTGGGTTTTTCTCATTTGGTAGGTTTATTACTGCTTCAATTTTATTGCCTGTTACTGGACTATTCAATATTTTTTATATTTCTTGCTTCAGTTTCGGTAACTCGTGTATATTTAGGAATCTATCCATTTCTTCTAGATTCTCCAATTTATTGGTGTGTGGGTTTTCAAAGTAGTTACTAATGATCTCAATTTCAGTGGTATCCATTGTAATTTTGGCTTTTTAATTTCTAATTTCATTGATTGGGTCTTTTCTTACCTTTTTTGGTAAGACTGGCTAAGAGTTTGTCTATTTTGTTTATTCTTTTCAGGAAGCAGCTCTTTGATTCATTGATTCTTTGTATTTTTTTGAGTCTCAATTTATTGATTTTGGGCTGGGGAGATAGCTTGGTGGTCTAAGTGCCTGCCTGGCAAGCACAAGGCCCTGGGTTCGATCCCCACTACTACATTCTGTGTTGGCCCTCTGCCAAGACAGCCACCGAAACCTGGGTGGTGCACGTCTATAATCCCAGGCTAGGAATGTTACTACTAGCCTGAGCTGCATAGCAAGATCCTGTATCAAATAAACAAGTAAAAAGATTTTGTCAATTATTGATTTCTACCCTGATCTTTGTAATTTCCTTCTTGTCCTAGCTGTGGACCTGGGTTGTTCTTGTTTTCCCGTCTTTCCCGGCCCTGGAGATGCACCAGTAGGTTGCTTACTCGAGCTCTTTGTACTTTTCCAGCGTAGGCATTCACAGCTGCAGACGTCCCTTGTAGGACTGCTTTTCTTGTGTCCATAGGTCACCCACCCTTTTTTAAAAGTGCAACTATGAAAACTTAAAAATGAATTACTTTGAGGTATTCCTCCGCCAGCCCGAGTCTGGGATCAGCATCACCCGCTCTCGCTAGGGAGAAGGCAGAGCCCAAGCACTGGCTGAGCTGCAGGAGTCCCCTGGGCGCGCACCGGGGAGAGCTGCCCGCTCTGCTCCCGGGTCCCTGCGCTCTGCCTGGCCTCTGCTGTCCTCTCGCCTTCTGTCCACTGTTCCGTGTCCCTTTCTCCTCCCCTCCCGGCCGTCCTTGCTCAGGCTGTGTCTGCGACTGTCCCTTTATTCTTGTGCCTTCACCTCTTACCTCAAGTCTGAAATGTCCAGACGAAACTGAGCCCTTTCCCCTTGCTAGGAAATGCTGCACATGCTGCACCCCAGGGGAGCAGGGCCAGGGCGGTCCTTCCGCCTCCCGCTGGTCCCCGCTGTTAGAAGGAATGATCGCCCTCTCGGCATGCGGACTGGAAGTCCATCCCGACCTCGCCGTCTTCCGGATGGATCGCAGGCCTTTTGTCTTACACTTCCTCTGCTTTTCTGTCGTCGCCTCCAGCCGGGCTTGTCTGAATCAGAGCTCCCTGCTTCGCGGCCGGATCCATAACACATCGCTCCGGAAGGTGGCGACCTAGAACTGCTGACGCTGCAGGCAGGGAGCCGTGTGGGCTCCTGGGGCGCCGCTCAGCGGCCGGACGTCGCGCAGCCCTTGCCGGTCCTGCGTTCAGTCCCAAACACCGAGGAGGAAAACCCGTGCCGTTTCAGCCACTGATGTGGCGATGGCTTCTCACGGGGCAGCGCCGTGGGGCGGGCGGGGCGGCGCCTTGCCCCCCACTCTGCGCTGGGGACCTGCGGGCGGCGCCGCCCGCCCTCCACGCAGCTCAGCCTTCGTGGCAGTGGCTGTCACCGAGCGTGTCCAGGGCGGGATAGGGTTTGCACACATCAGCCGAGCGGAGCTCAGTGCTTGAGGCGCTGGGGCTGGTGGTGGGCCTAGCTGACTGCGGCCTCTGTCTGCAGCCCAGGATAAGCACCTGTCCCCGGGGCCCGAGGAGTACCTGGGCATGCTGCAGTGCCAGCCGGAAGACGAGGCCAAGCTCGTGCAGAACCTCATCCTTGGTAGGAACCCTGAGGGTGCCTGTTCTCTCTCTGAGGGCTGAACCGGACCCAGCGCCGCAGTGCCCGAGGCGCGGGGGCTCTCACCCTAGCACTGGGGACCAGATGTGCCTTTGAGCTTGAGGGGAGCCAAGGGCTGCGCCGCGGGGTGCAGAGAAGATCCTTAACTTCTTCCTGCTTCAAGCCACTAGCAGCCCTCAGTCATTCCACAGCCTGGTCACCTGGCCAGGGTTTGTTATGGGGTGAGGAGGCCGCCCTGTTTCATCCTCATCAGAGAGGGAAACTCCTCTCAGATCAGAGAGCAAGCAGGTACTTCCCCCCAGTAAGTCTGCCACAAGGACCTGCACCAAACTCCTCAAAGGGAGTAAAGCCCTGTAGGGTCAGAGCTCAGCCTGCGGCGGCACCGCACCCTGCAGTGGCCCTCGTGCCTGTGTCTCCCGCAGACCTGAAGCCCCGCGGCGTGGTTGTGAACATGATGCCCGGGCTGCCGGCGCACATCCTGCTCATGTGCGTGCGCTATGCTGATGCCCAGAACGACGAGGCCATGGTGCACTCTCTCCTGGACAGCGCCATCCGCGGCATCAAGCAGGTGGTGAAGGTAGGCGGAGCCTCACACAGCTCGGCCACAGCCCAGCTCCCCTGGGCACAGACCGCCAGCTTGTGAGCCACAGCCAGCCCCAGCTGTCTGAGGCCAGGTAGACACAGACGAGGACCAGGATGGGCCCAGACCTCCGACCCTCCCGCCTCTCCATCCCCCCCACCTCTGATGGCCCCAAGGGAAGTGTGCCTCGGAATCTGGGGAGCATTTATGGGAGGGGCTGCCATCAGTTACTTTGTATGATCACAAGCCCCGTTTGCTGAAGACAGGCAGCCTCGGGCCGTGCTGGCCACAGGCCCAGGGTCTGTCCTCTCAGTCCCTTAGCGCTCCGGGCAGTGCTAAGGGACTGTGCACCTGCAGTCACCCGGCACAACCGCTGACCCCTCCTGCCCCACCAGAGCTTACCCAAGGCTAAAACCCAGTGCTGCCCACCTTTCCTCCTTCCACTCCGGAGAGCTCGCCAGGAGCTCCTCTTGCTGGTCCAGCAGACAGACTCTGGGTTTTGTTCTCCTGAAACCGATGGCGCCCTTAGCACTGGCCCCTCAGAAGGTTCCTCCTGTCTTGCAGCCTCAGTTTCCCTCTTGTGTCTGGGTCTCTGCACCCTGCCCTCCTGCTTGCCCTGCTCCTACTGCCCGCAGGCTGCTGTCTCGGGCAGCCTCTCATCACTCTGCTCCTCACGAGGTCCTCACACGTGATCTTCCCCCCATGTCTCCATTCCCTGAGCGCAGGGCACTGAGGCCCATGGCCCCTGTTCCCCACATCCTGCAGCTGGGACACCTGACCTCCCCTTCCTGCAGTGGAACCCATGAGAAGGCCGTGCCCTCCATGTCCCTGCAGCACTTGACGGAGGCTTAGGGCGAAGGACAGCTTCAGAAGGGGAGCTGTCTCCTCTCATCAGTGACCGGGCACTGCCATCCCCTCTTGTGTTTAAGGATCATCTAGAAGACTTTGAGATGCTGTCATTTTGGCTTTCCAACACGTGTCACTTCCTCAACTGCCTGAAGCAATACAGTGGAGAAGAGGTAGGGCGGGACACAGGGCTTGGACGGGACACCCAGCTGAGGGCCAGCCTGGGTGCCAAGCACCGCTTCCACACCCCCTGGCTCTGAGCACAGGTCACCCAGAGCCTGCGAATGTCCCCCACAGGCAGAGACTGGAGCTCGGCCTTGGCACAGGCCCCTCCTACCTCCTACTGAGAGCAGCAGGGCGGCTGGGTGACCTCAGCTCCCCGCAGCCGGAACAGCCTGTGGCTTGTAGCACCGCAGCTCAGTGCGGCCTCTGGTGGGGCAGGCTCGTTGCGTGTGAGCTCCTCAGGAATCCCGGCTGTTCTGTAACCTGTCAGCAGCCCTCTCTGTGTCCAGCTCACTTCCAGGAGCCAACGTGAGGGCTCCGCATCTCCCAGAATTCACAGGGCTCAAATGACAAAGTGGCTTTTAGGGCCTCCCTGGCCCTCTGTGTGGTTCTGTCACTTTGTATTCGCACCAGCGCTGTGCAATGTTTTCAGGCTAATGAGTATATAAAGTGATTATGTTTTTACATATGCACACTTGCTTGATTCCTAGTGAGGCCAGGAGCTTGCTGGTCACTTGGTCTTGCCCCTCTGTTCTTCATAGGGCTGAGTGGTTTTTTGTCAGTTTGTAGAGGTCTTTACATAGAATGAATGGACTGTGCTTTCACTTCTATTTTTATTTTTATTTTTATTTTTTATTTATTTATATATTTATTTTTTGAGATGGGGACTCGTTTATTATGCAGTTCAGGCTGGCCTTGAGCTAACTTTATAGTCCAGGCTGGCCTCAAACTTGCAATGATCCTCCTGCCTCAGCCTCCCAAGTGCTGGAACTACAGGCATGAGCCACCATACCTGGCTGTAATTTTCTTTATGGAGTCTTTTGTCATAAACAGTGTCTGAATTTTGATGTAAAATTAAATCCACAAATCCTGCTCTTTCATGATTCTTGTCTGGAAGAAACTCTCCTCTAACATGGTGAGCACTCAGAATTCACAATTCTGTTTTATCCCTCAAAATCAGCGAGGTCCTGTGTGGCCCTGAGACTGGTGTGGAGGTCAGGACCCCATTTCATATTCTGTGTGGATGACCAGCCCTCCTGAGGGGGAGAGTAAAGCACAGAGCAGATCCGACCTGCTGCTGGGTAAACTGAAGGAGAAATGGGCCAAGGCGACCCAACCCTGAGCCCCAAGGGTGGCAGGGGACACAAGGAGGGCAGGCGGGCCCCTCCAATTGGTGACTCTCTCCACCGCGTCATTCCAGGGCCCTTCTTTCATGGCTGTAGCCACAGTGGGAGGAAGCCCTTTCAATGGCTGAGCAGTCGCCACTGACAACTTTTCTTTCTTAGCTCTGCTGTCCTTTCAACCTCTGCTCATCATAATTTCTTTCTTGTGTGGCGAAAATTGAATCCAAGGCCTTGTGCACACTGGGTAAGCACCCTAGTGCTGAGCCACACCCCCACCCACTATGTTCTGTTTTTTCTTTTTGAGATAAGGTCTGGCTATGCAGTTCAGATTGGCCTTGAACTCACTTTGTAGCCTGGGCTGGCCTCAAACTCATCGCCCCCAGGAGGCGATCTTCCTGCCTCAGCCTCCCAACTGCTGGGGTTACAGGTGCACTCCACCACACCCAGAAATAATGTCCTATTCTTAATGTGCTTTTTTCTTTTGTCTCATTGAATGTTAGATACATTGCCTTTGCCTTTTAGGGACTGCTGTCAGTAGTACCCCAGACCAGTGGTTTCACCAATAGCCATTTATTTCCTCCCAGTCCCAGAGTCTGAAACTCTTCTTGGCTTGGAATGGCCACCTTCTGCCTATGGCTTTTCTGGGCACACACAGGGCTGAGAGGGACAGAGGAAGGAGAAAGGGAGAAAGCAGCCCATGTTATTGACAAGTGAACCCAGGGCCTTCGTACTAAGTCATTAAGTTGCCTAGGCTGGCCTTGAACTTGTGGTCCTCCCACCTCATCTCCCAGAGCGCTGGATCCCAGGAGGGGACTGTACTGGACGTCTCTGGGATCTCTTTTTGCGAGGACACTAATCCTGTCAGGACAGGGCCCTGCTACCCAATGTCGCTTCACCCTAGTTCCTTCCTAGTGGTTCCTTCTACAGGAGCAGCCACGCTGTGCTGAGAGGGACTGCGGCCCCAACGTGGGATCTAGTGGGGGACACAGCTCTCGGTGCACCACACATGCTGTCTGAGGGTGCTCTGGACCTTGCTGCTCAGGGCGCTTGCAAGTGGTGGTTGCTTCCCAGGGTGCTGGCCAGCTTTCCTGTGCCCTTCAGTGCCCGTTGCTCCCTCAGCCCTAGGCTCCAGGGAAAGGGGCGGGTGCGAGCGAGGTCATGCAAGAAATCGGTATTTTTTCTTATAAGAAATAAATCTTACCCTAAACTTCAAGAGCTCATTTGAAACAAGCCAGACGCTGAGCTTTAGGGCGCGAGTTACCCCGATGCTGCCCCGAGCATCAGTGCAGGTGGCGTTCTTGGCCCTCGCGTCGGCAGCGTTGTGATATGCGTGCTGCCCCACTGCTCTAGGAGTTCATGAAGCACAATAGTCCACGTCAGAATGAGAACTGCCTGCACAACTTCGACCTGTCGGAGTACAGACAGATCCTTAGCGACGTGGCCATACGGATCTACCATCAGTTCATTACTGTCATGGAGAGTCACATCCAGCCCATAATAGGTAAGAAGACAGCTGATGACCAGAAGTACTTACAGCAACATGGAGACTTTCTAAAAGCACAAGGGCTGCCGGGTAGCTCAGCGAACTAAGCGCCTGCTTAGGCAAGCACAGGGGCCAGGCTTCCATCCAGGGTTCCAACCAGCCCTGGCCCCACAGGCCGTGCCGGCCCCGCCCAGGGTGTGATGAGCCAGTGACTGATACTGGGTGTGGCGGCGCACGCCTGGAATCGCAGCACTTGGGAGGCTGAAAAGAGGGGATCACTACAAGTCTGAGCTGTGTAGTGAGACCCTGTACCAAATACACAAAATGAAATAATAATAATAAAATAAAAGCACAGGGCCGGGGAGATGGCTCAGTGGAATAAGCGCTTCCCTGGCAAGCACAAGGACCTGAGTTCAATCCCCGGTTCCACCAAAAAAAAAAGCACAGACGCCCCTCCGTTCCCCGACGTGCTCCTGTCCTCGGGGACAGCACACGCACAGCCTTTCCACCCCTGTCCCCACAGTACCAGGCATGCTGGAGCACGAGAGCCTGCAGGGCCTCTCGGGCCTGAAGCCCACTGGCTTCCGGAAGCGCTCATCCAGCATCGATGACACGGACACCTACACCGTGGCCTCGGTCCTGCAGCAGCTGAGCTACTTCTACAGCACCATGTGCCAGAGCGGGCTGGACGCCGAGCTGGTGCGGCAGGCGGTGAAGCAGCTCTTCTACCTCATCGGGGCCGTGACGCTGAACAGCCTCTTCCTGCGCAAGGACATGTGCTCCTGCAGGAAGGGGATGCAGATCAGGTGAGGGGTGGGGGCAGGGGTCACCGGTGAGCCCTGGAGCCCATCACCATGGGGGCAAGTGCCCGTACCCACGCAGGGCGCAGCTAGGTGTGCAGGGCCACACGCGGGGCCTGGCGAGGCAGCACGTGCACTCTGAGACCCCTTCTAGTCCATTCTGTCCCCATTGCTTTCTCTGCAGGGGCACTGCTGGGGTAGGGGATGCCCAAAGCTGAAGGAAAGCCCAGGGACCCCGCCCTGGCCACAGGAAGCTCCAACAGCTGAGTGGGGTGGGCGGAGCTAGGCAGCAAGGAGGCGCAGCAGGGAGGGAGGCTCTTGTGGGCAGCGGCCCTGGGGACATTAGCTAGAGAGGCAAGGTGTACCTCTAGGCGGGGGCAGCAGCAGAGGCGCAGGGCACTGCCGAGAGGACGCCTGCAGCTCCATCTGGTTAGGGAGGTGTCTCCCAGGAGCAGGACCCAGGAGAGTAACTTCACATGCAGATGAGAGGGTCCACGGCACCAGGCGAAGGCTGTGGGCGCCTCTTGCCCAAAGACGTCTCCCAAATACGTGCAGCGATTTGGTTTCGGAGCTCTGGGGACTGGACCAAGGCCCTCCCGCTGAGCTCTACCTTCCACTCTTCATTTTGAGATAGGGTCTCACTAAGACCCAAGGTCTCCCAGGCTGGGCTTAACCTTGTGAGCCTCCTACCTCAGCCTCCCGGAGACGCATGCACCATCACACCCAGATAAAATTTAGTTCTGAAGCACTGAGCCCTGTTTCTCATGAAGGAGCCAGGGCCCCCGAGCCAGTAACCCTGAACAAGGGATTAGGGAATGGAACCTGGGGTGGATCTCAAGACCCCTGCGGTGTGTGTAGCAGTTGATGCCTGTGTGTGACACGGGCCCTGGGAGGCAACAGCAGTGAGGTGACAGAGAGTCTGAAGCCAAGAAAGGCCACAAGACACCTGTTGTGCTTTCGGCACTGGGGAGGTGTGGACTTGGGTGCAGTCCCCGTGCCAGGTCAGTTTCATGTGGGAACAGTCGTGCTCTGCAGGCTCCCACCGTACCTGGGAGCCCTCTGGAGCAGGGGACAGTAAAGCCACAGACACCAACCAACACAATCCTCAAGACCCAGCAGGACCCCAAGAAGGACCCAAGTGACAGGGCAAGATGCACGGCTCCAGCATGTGCTCACTCAGACATCTCAGCTCTCCCGGGCAAGGCCCACCAGAGACTGGAGGCGGCTTGCAGGGCAAACAGAGCGACAGGGACAGAGGGAGGTGGACAGCCCGGTGACACTCACCTGCTCAAGCCCCCAGAAGCCACCACCAACATGTTTTCACTTTCATGAGGCTTTATTGTATGAGTTCTTTTTTTTTTTCTTTGTAGCTGTAGACCTATTCGGGCCGTGGATTTCACCTGGAGTGAGTTTGGTGTTGATATTTTTTGAGGAATTGGTCCATTTGCCCTGATCTGTTGTGTTGCTGTGCACAGAGCCTTTCTTACTGCAGAGCAGGGATCCCTGCCACCCTCTGGCTTCTGCAGGGTGCGGCGTTAGGCCTTCCGCAGGCCTGCTGCGGGGGGCTGTGTCTTCTCTTGCCCTTGTCAGTCCTGCTAGAGGTTTGTCAGTATTACTGATCTTGCCAAAAAACTAGTTGGGGGTTTTCCTGGTTTCCACAATGTTTATTTTTAATTTCCTTGCTTTCTGCTCTTGTCCTTGTAACTTTATGTGCTCTGCTTGCTTGGGACTTACCCTGCCCTCCTTCTTATGGCAAGGCAGAAGCTTAGGCGATCGACTCTCAGGTTTGCTTTTTATTGTATTTAGTGCTATAAATTTCCTCTAAGCACCATGTCAGGTTTGTCTCACAAATACTGTACGTTGTATTGTCCAATTTAAGGAGTTTTTGGGGGGTGTGTGCAAGGTCTCACTGTGCAGCTTGGACTCATAGTGATTCTCCTGATTTCTGCTCCCTAGTGCTGGGATTGCAGGCATGCGCTACCACGCCTGGACTCCATCCATGCCAGCTCAGCATGCCCCAGGCAGGGCCAGCGTGGCATGCAGTGCAAGGGATCGAACTCTGGCCCCTGCACTTACCTAAGCAAGCACTGAGTCCACTGAGCTATACCACTGGCCCTTGTATTGTCAATTTTATTCATTTAAAAATCTTTCCTAGGTTCCTCTGAGGTCTCTTGTTTGTCCCATGGATTACTGCAAAACATATAGTTAAATTCCATGTTCTTGGAGACTTCCTTGCTGTCCCTCTGTCACTGGCCATTTTGTCTGATTCTGTTTAGGTCACAGGATGTACTTTGCCAGTCAAACCTTTAGAAAGTTGGTGTTGGTTCCCCAAATTGGAGGAGGGGCTATGGCAGGAGGGTGACCAGCCTTCCCACTTTGGCCAGAACTCTCCTTGTAGGATTTTAAAATATTTTTACATTTAAGGACCAACCAAATATCTCAGCAGATTAATGCACCTGCAAGCAGGCACAGGGACCGGGGGTTCGATCCCCGGGTTTGCCATGCTGGCCCAGCCCTCGGGGTGCGCTGAGATGGCAATTGAGACTGGGCGTGGTGGCGCGTGCCTGTAATCCCAGCTCTTGGGAGGCTGTAAACAGGCAGATCACTACAAGTCCAATCTAGTTGTGAGACCCTGAACACCCTGTACACCCTTCCCTAAAGTACAAAAAAAAGCATATTACATTTAAGAAAACCAAGAGCCAGAGAGATAGCTCAGCAGTCTAAGTACCTGCCTGGAAAACACAAGGACTCAGGTTCAATCTCCGGTACTGCATGCCATGCCAGCTCACCCTGTGCCAAGCCAGTCACCAAAACTGAGCGTGGTGCATGCCTGTAATCCCAGTGCTAGAGAGGCTGAGACAGGAGGATCACTACAAGTCTGAGCTGCAAAGCTAGACCCTGTAAAATACATAATATGGATTTAATTTTTTAGTTTATTATGATTTGCTGTTTTAGCCCAAAATACATTACACTTTTGTAAGTGTTCCATATTCAACTGGAAAAGTAGACATTGTGCTGTTGGGCTGAGTGCGTCTAAATCCCGAGGCTGACGGCGCACTCAGCCGGGCCCCTGCCCGTTCCCCACCAGCTCTGCTGCTTCCGGAGGCAGCGACGGCCTCTCCAGCTGCGCCCGCCCGCGGGCGTCTCTCCCTTCAGCCTGTTCCGCGTTTGAGACTGTGCTGTTAGGTATTTCCGTGTCGAGCGTCACATGTCCTCCTGGTGAGCCGAGCGCTTGCTCCTGTGGGAATCCCTCCTCTTCCTGCCCTGGGAACGCTCTCTTCCCGGGAGCCTTCGTGGTCAGAATGCAGCCGCTCCAGCGTCCTTCGCTTTGGGTTTTGGTGGAGCATCTTTTCCAGTCTTTCACTTTAGCTCATCATATTTGAAGTTAGTTTCTTTTAGGCAGCATGAAAAAGGGTATTGTGTTTTTTTTCTATTTTAAAGTTCAGTCTAACAATCTTTTTATTGATATATTTAGACCATTTTACTTTCATGTAGTTGTTAGTGTATTTAGATTTCAGCCTACCATTTTATTTATTTATTTTTATTTGTCCCTTCTGGTATTTGTTTCTCCGATTTTCTTTTCTGCCTTCTTTAGTGTTGTTTGGACATTTTTAGTATTCCTTTGTAATTTACCTACTGCATTTTATCATAACTCTGCATTTTCTTTAGTGGTTGTTCTAGGGATTAAAATATGTTTTGGGCTGGCCAGATAGCTCAGCGGACTAACGCGCCTGCTTAGGCAGGGGTTCGATCCCGGCCTGCCGTGCCGGCCCCACGCCTGGGTGCGCTGAGACAGCGATTGAGACTGCGCGTGGTGGCGCACCTGCACTCCCAGCACTTGGGCGGCTGAACACAGGAGGATCACTGCGAGTCCGATCTACATAGCGAGACCCTGGAGACCCTGTACTAAATATATAAAATTAAAAGATAAAAAATAAAATAGGAGGTTTGGTTGAATTTACAGTGAATTAGAACATTTAAAATTTTTTATTGCAGTAAAAACCACCATCTCAGACATACATAGCCGGTTGTCTGAGGCACTCTATGAAGAGGCGCTGAAGTCCTCTTTCCCGCTAGGCGGCAGGAGCGAGCCAAAGCTGCGGTTCAGCCCCTTCCTTACCTGAGGATGCAAACTTCGCCCACGGTGATGGAACTTTGAGCTGCAGCCACAGGGAGGTGACAGGTCTCCCTGAACTTTGGCCAGAAAGCATGCTCAGCATGCAGTGGGCTTATGCGGATGCGGCCCATCAGGCGAGGAGGCCATCTGGGTGTGGAAAGCAACCTGTGCTGTACTTTGGTTTTAACCATAGGCAGCTCTTGTCACAGGGTACACACCCAAAGAAATCTGAGGCTCTAGATTGTATATCTGAGCTTTTACCGAATTTGGGACATCTCTAGTTATTCTTTCTTCAGATATTTGGTCTACTTTACACTTTTTCTCTTCTCCCCTAGAACTTCAATAACACATCAGGCCTCCCTCTTTGTCCCCCAGATCCCTAGGGTTCCATTAATTTTTTTTTTTTTCCGTTTCCTTCTCTGCTCTTCAGAGTGGGTAACTTCTGTCAGTCCCCTCAAGTCCTGGCCCATGCCGGTCTGTCTGCTGTCCTGCCTGGAGCCCCTGCTGCTAGCTCGTCTGTTTCTCTTGTGGTTTTCAGCTCTACAGTTCCCACCTGATCTGTGTAGATCAGCTGCGTCCTTTCTGAGACTGTCCTGCCACTGGGTTCAGGATATTTGTCATTCTCATGCCAGCTTTTCCCCAGGCTTGTTAGAGAATCCCAGCACCGGTGTCTCCTCCCCATGGACATCTGCTGGGTGTCGTGACCTGAGTCAGGGGTTTCACCTGGCCAAGGAATTTTGAATTATATCCCGGCCATTTCCTGCATTATGTCATGAGACTCTAGGTCTTTAAGTTCTGTGGGGAATGTGGATAGTTTATGGGGTCAGCAGCCCACTCAGTCCAAGCTCTTCTAGCTCCGTGTCCTCTGCACACTGTGTATCCCACGTTGGGCCCACTTCAAAGCCTGTGTGGTGCCGTTTGCTATCTCCTGTGTGACACCCGGTGACCCAAGTGGAACAGGCTTAGCTCCGTGACTTAGTTCTCAAAGGCTGTGTTGGCCCAGGTCCATGCCTCGGCACCGTTAAGCACCAGGGTCTTAAATCTCTCCACGCCAATCCCTCTCAACCGCATCCTGGAGCTCCCTGCTTCCCTGAAGACCCCTCTTCCCAGGTGCTGTGGGTGCAGGGCGGGGTGAGCACCCGTCCCCTGACACTCCAGCTCCTCCACCGAGGGCAAGGCCCCTTCTCCATGCTACCCCCATTGCCGCCACCATTGCCGCCACCATGTAGTTGCTCAGGACTTGAGCTTGAGAGAGTACAGAACAGAAGGGAAAGACAAAATCGGGTATCTCTGTCCTCTCGCTGAGCACTAGAAGGCCCTTCCCAGATCTCCAGCCAGAGCCTTGGTCACCTCCCAGGCTCCTCACTGGCCTCAATGCCCGTGGCTGAGTTTCAGGCTGCAGGGAATTCAGGCCAGTGAAGAACAGAGAAGAGACTCTGGTGACGTCACTGTCAACGGGGAAGCCTTCCCTACACAACTGTGCTGCTTAGCTTTCCTGCAGCTGCCCCAAGCGCCCAGGTAGACAGAAGGCAGACAGCACTTAGCCCTGCCCAGCACCTGAGCCCTCTGCCCCACATCCAGCCTGGAGGATTAGCACATCTGAAGTTCAGGCTTAGCCAGGACTGTGGAGGTGGATTAGAAGGGTAAGGCAGAACCCCGAGGGGCCTGTTGCAGTAAAAACAAGTACAACGGGTGCAGAGGAGTTCTTTGGGACAAAAGTGACAATACAAGGGAAGGAGCCACGCAGATGTTTCCTGCCCACGTACCACGCCCATGGAGCACGTCAGCCTTGCACCCCAGCTTTCAGCCAGAGAGAGGCTAATCTGGAAGATCAGAGTTCCCCTGGCCTCAGGGACCCCTGAGTGCTCCACCAGCATAAGAGGGCGCCTGACTGAGGTCCAGCACTCAGACACCTAACAGCTCCCCCAGTTCTCCACCCCACCTCAGACTCCCTACCCACTAGCCTAGGCAACCACTGAGATCTCGTAGTTCTCCCTGGATTGGCTGATTCTGGACATCAGTGTATCATAAAATATGTTCTGTTCTGTAGATAGCTTCTTTCCCTTAGAGACTCATAAATGCAGACTCAGCACCTACATTTGTTTTGGCTGAAAATATCCCATTGTACAGTTCGATCATAATTTGTTGGCCTATTCCTTAGTTGATGGACGTTTGTTTTCACATATGGGGTCACGTGGAATAAGGCTGATACCAATGTTTGTATGTCAGTTTTATTTTTTTTTAAATTTTATTTATTTGTGTGTGTATATGTGTGTGTGGCCAGCTCAGCCCACCAGGGGGCGGGGCTGGCTGGCATGTGGTGCTGGGGGATTGAACCACAGTCCCTGTGCTTTGCTAAGCTTGTTCTAAGTAGGTGCTTTAGACCACTGAGCCATCTCACCAGCCCCTGTATGTCAGTTTTATGTGGACATGTTTTCAGTTCTCCTGAAAGTATATCCAGGACCAAATTGCTGGGTGTGTTACTTAGCTTTCTGTTACTGTAACAAACTACCCGAGACAGTGAACTTATACAGAAGGAAGAACCTGTTTCAGCTGACAGTTCTGAAAGATGGGTGGGACTGAAATCTGGGCCTCTTCAATCACATCCTGTGATGAGTAGTGACAAATAGAAGTGGAATTCCCCAGGCAGCTGAAGGAGGATCTCCCTCCAGTGCAATTTTTCTGCTAATTCAGGAAAATAATATTATATACCCATATAAGTCTTCGCTTCAAATGTTTCTTTTTTTATTTTTTTTTTTTACTGTACCAGGGATTGAACTCAGGACCTTGCACTTGTCAGGCAAGTGCTTATTCTACTGAGCTCTCTCCCCAGCCCAAAGTGGAACATGTTTTTTTGTTGTTGTTTTGTTTTGTTTGTTTTGGCTGGTTCAGACTGCCGTAAGGGGGGGTCTGGTAATACCAGTGGAGGTGGGGTTCAAACCAAGGAATCCTGAGCCTGACTGCATTTACATGAGCAGGTCCTTAAACAACTGAGCTAACCAGCAGGCCCCCTAGTATTTCATTTTGAAACAGATTTCAAAACTCCACTTTGGAAGTTTCTGCAACCATATTCTGTGCCCAGATTCCCCTGAGTCCCTGGGTCTGCAGTGACAGTGGCTGCCCTCCATGGGTCCTACAGAGCTCAGACCATAGAGGCTGAAAGTAGGCCCCAATCACCAGCCCCAGTCTCCTCTGGGTTGCACATGGAGGCTTCTGGGCTCTCTGCTAAGCTCCGCAAGCCTGCTGTCCTGGGGCTCCAGCCCTGCCCCCGCGCACGCTGCCCGCGGCTCCCACGCAGGTGCGGGCCCGGCCCTGCCCGCGCGCACGCTGCCCGTGGCTCCCACGCAGGTGCAGGCCCTGGCCCTGA